ATGGTGGTTTAAATAAGAGATCAAACCATGGACTGCTTTTTTTTTCCAGTGTACTATGATTTTCAACAGGAAAACCAACAAACATTAATAATATTTCCAAGCAGTCAGTCATGGTAGTTCATAGATCCTGGCACTCAGGGTTGGTGGATGCCAGGCTGTAGTGGTGTACACCTTTAATCCCAGCACTTGGGAGGCAGAGGCAGGCAGAGCTCCTAGTTGGAGGCCAGCCTGGTCTACAGAGTTCCAGGACAGCCAGGGCTACTCAGAGAAAGCCTGTGTAGAAAAACAAAGAAAAAGAAAAAGGCTGGGGTGGATGACTCACTAGGAGTTCAAGGCCAGCCTAACACCATAATGAATTCCAAGTCTGCCTAGCCTATAGAGGAAGAACATGTCTGAAAACAAAATAAAACAAGTATTTACACCAGGTGTAGTGCGCACTGTGTAACCCCAGTTCCTAGATGGCGACAGGAAGATTTCCAGTTCAAGGTCACCTTGGTCTCCAATCAGACTGTCTCAAAAATATAAAAATAAAAAATATTTCAGCCTCAGCATAATTTTCTTTTACACACATGTACATACGTGTATTTGTTTAAACTTAAAGGACAAACATGGCAGCTCACAACTGTGTAACTTCAGCTCCAGGGAATCCAAAGCCCTCTTCTGGCCTGTGAAGCCACCAGGCACACATGTGGTACACAGACATACACTTGCAGGTAAAACATCTATACACATGAAATAAAAATAAAATAAAATAAAAAAGATTTAAAAAATAATTTGGGGCTGGAGCGATGGTTCATCAGTTAAGAACACGTACTGCTCCTTCAGAAGATCTGAGTTTAGTTCCCAGCACTTCTGTCAGATGGTTCATAACCACCTTCAACTCCAACTACAGAGGATCCTCTGATGCTTGAGGACACCTACCCTCACATACACATACCAACACACAGACACATACTCATAAGTTTTTTTTAATCTAGACTTTTTAAATTTAATTTGAAATAATAATAATAAAAAAACAATAAAAAAGAACTTATAGGCCAGCAAGATGGCTCGCTGGTAAGGGCCCATGCTGCCACACCTGATAATCTGAGTCTGATACCCAGGACCCACACAGTTGAGAGAGAACTGACTGGGAAAACTGTTGTCCTTTGGCCTCCATGTGTGTGCTGTGGCAGATGTAAACAAGGCACACACATAAACAAATGTAATTTTACTTATTTATTTATAGACAGAGTCTCTCTATATTAGCCCTGGCTGTCCTGGTACTCTATATGTAGACCAGGCTGACCTTGAACTCAAGAGATCCACCTGCCTCTGCCTCCTGAGTACTGGGATTAAAGGTGTGTACCACTATACCTAGCAACAAATGTAATTTAAACTAATTTTATTTTATGTGTGTGAGTATTTGCCTGCATGTATGTCTGCGCACTATGTGCATGCCTGTGATCAGAGCCTTCAGAAGAGGCCATCTGATGCCTAAACTAGAGTTATAAATGGTTGTAGTTATAATTTGGATGCTGCAAATTGAAGCTAGGTCCTCTGCAAGAGCAACAAGTGCTCTTAACTTCTGAGACTGTTAATTTTTTAAAAAAAAAAGTGAACTTTGTAGCCAAGCAGTGGTCCATGCTAGAACATCCTTCCAAGGCTATAAAATACAACATACACACATATCAACCTAAGTAAAAAGCACAGCTCTTATCAGTATCTCCAAAAACTGAAAGCAGTTAAAAACTTCAGTCTGTGGCAAAAGCTACACTAGCAATGATCTAGAAAGGAATCCCTGGGGAATAATTAGCATTTCCTGGAGAGCAAAGTTGTTTTTCAAGCACAGTGAATGATAACTTTATCCAACCACAGAAGTAAATGAAATTGTTTTATACCACAACTGACAGTCCCTATGAGGCTCACTTGTCACTCACTGTATGTGACCTTGTAATTCCTTAAAAATCAAACACCTTTTGTTCTGTTTTTCGTTTTATGAGACAGTGTCTCGCCATGCAACCCAAACTGGTTTAGAGTTTACTATACAGTCCAACGGGGCCTGGAACTCAAATTTCTACCTACTGTCTTAGCCCCTAGAGTGCTGGGATTACAGGTTGTAGCCACCACACCTGGCTAGAGATGCTTTTTAAAAAATATTGTGTTGAAGGTACCCAGTTTCCCCAGATTTCTAAACTGTTCTGGACAGTTTCTAAATCCTTCATTTTTTTTTTTAATCCTTCATGTTTGGAGTTTTCCATTTTTAGGCTACAAAAATACTGGGGAAAGAATACTGATAGGCTTAAGACACTACCATCAAAACTTTTTGGCACTAAAAACGTGAACAACAACAACAAAAAGCAACAGACATCTATTCGTCATTTAAGATGGGTATTTCAGTTCGGGCCAGTTTTTCTACCACACATAGCTTAACATCTCCCTTGGGTGCGACCTCCCTGATGATTATGAACAACTTATGCAAACTCCCAGAAGGCAGAGAGAGCCCATAAAACTTCCACCCACCAACACAGGTGATGATGGTAGGGAGAGCCGAAGGTTGATGGCAGAAATGACGGTCTGTGTCCTGGGAATCCCATGTCAGACTGGACAAAGGGTTGTGGGACTGGAATACCAGTGCACGGGATCTGACAGTATGAAGGCAGGCATGGGTGGGCCAGCAGGTTAAACATCCCTGTGGAGTTTGGGGATGTGGTCCAGTTCTGGTAGTGGGTATTAAACTAGGGTGGGTCCCTAAGTCTAGGTTCTGGCTGTAGGTCTTGGTTATGGATAGCGAATGGGTACTGGTGGTGAGACTAGCCTTGCTCCTGGATAGCGGTCAGGATCCTTCTCTGATGGTGACCAAAGGTCTGGTTCAGGGTCTGATCCTGCTCGTAGGTAGCTGACGTGGGTCTGAGTCCTGCCCGCTCACGGGTAGTGGGTCTGGGTCCCTCCCTCCCTAGGGGTGGCTAGTGTGGGTCAGATCCAGGCCGCAGCCCCCGCCCGCCACTCACACGCGCGGCAGCTGCAGCGGCGGCGCCCCGCGCCGCTGGAACACCCCGTCCACGAACACGCCGTTCTTGCCGAGACAGCGCAGGTAGAAATCGCCGCCCGCGTCCGGCCGGGGCTGCGCGGGTTCCGGGGCGGCAGCGCTATGGCCGCCGCCCGGGGGCGTGAAGATCTCCAGGTGGCGCCGCGAGATGAAGCTCGAATGACCCATGCTCACATCTACCGAGCCCTGCGACGAGTTGCGCCCGATGGTCACCGAGCGCTTCTTCATGAGGTACTCGAACTCGCGGCCTTCGAGCCGCGCCACGGCCCAGCCGCCCGGCGGGGATCCGCCGCCCCCGGCCCCGCCGCCCGCGGGAGGGGCGCCCGCGCCCGAGAGCGCCGCCGCGGCCGCCATCGCCTGCGAGGCCCGGCCGATCCGCGCGGGCGCCCTGGCGGGCCGAGGCCCGGGCGCGGTCGTGGGCCGCGCGAGCCGAGCACGGTCGCCGAGACCGCCGGCCGGCGAGGAGAGCTGCGAGGGCGGGAGCTCGCACGGCCGCGCGCCGGGCCCTACGACGGACGGGCACGCTGGCCAATAGGCACGGCGCACGCAGTGGGGCTACCAAGTCCGGCCAATGGCGAGCTGCGCCGCCGAGCGCCCGCACGTCCGGCGGCGTCGCGCGACGCAGGTTGGCCGCGGCGGCGCGGAAAACCCGGGACGGATAAGGAGCTGGCGTGGGGCCGCGCGCGTTCGCGGGGTGAGCGGGGGTCCAAGGTCACGACGGGCGCGGGTGCGCCCCGAGTGCCGGTGGCCGCTCTTTTACTCCGCCCTAGGCTGCGTAGAGCCACGCACACTGCTCGGGAACCCGCCGAATTGACTAGCGTGCCACCGCTCAGGGCTGTACTTCAAAACTACCCTGGTATACTAGTTCTGCAGTCGGTCATTCATACCAATGACTGCAAAAATCTAAGCATTTTGCCAGTTTGTGTGTGTGAGATCCCATCTTTCCCATAAAAAAAAGAAACCACCACGGGGGCCCGTGAGAACAGCAGAGCCATGCCGATCGAGCAGGCTGTGAGGGGCTCATGAAGCCAGTGCCAATACTGAGGTGAAGCTTAGGCCCCACTGTCTTTTCCAGGACCGAAGGGCAGTCGGTGCACCTGCTTTGGCTCTGCTGAGGGAGGCACGTGGTCATGAAGAACGTCACACCAATATGGTGGCCCCTAGGTGCAGGCGATGGGATGCAGTGTTCTCTGAGGCACAAAAGGAGTTCAGGTCAGGGATAGTACCGTGGAAAGGTTGAGAACAGGCTGGACTTAATCTGCACATTCTGGGCAAGAGCTTCTAAACAGAGGCCCCAGAAGAGAGGCATCAGAACATTTTGCATTTTAATTCATTCTCTGTGTCTTACGATAAACGTAATGGAAATCAATGTGTCTCTATAACATTTACATATCTTATTTGACATATATGTCTGTAATTACAGTATAAATTCCTAAAGGTTCAAACTGCTTTGTACTATAAATATGGAAGAAGACAATTCATTATTCACTTAGGGATTGTAGATGATGTAGAGGTAACCTTGGGAATGATAACTAGGTAAAAGTCTAGAGAAAAAACACAGTCAAAGGAAAAGGCAAGAAATGATTTGCCCTCACTGTTGACACCGACTGAGCTCCCGCTTTATACATGTTTGAGTCCAGGGCTGTTTTAAGGTTCTGCAGCATGCTTCAAACATCTATAACAGGGCTAAATCTTTTTCCACTCTCTACCAATTTTTGTCCAATAACTTCACACAACCCTGGCTATTACAAGTATATAAAATAAACATACAACCAGTTATGTTGCTTTGTTTGGCTTTTGTGGTTGGTTTTGGTACTTTTTGTGGGGAGAGAAAGACAGAGTCTTATTCTATAGCCCTACTTACTATGTAGGCCAGGATCACCTAGAACTCAGGGACCCACCCACTTCTACTTCCCAAGTGTCGGGATTAAAGGCATATACCACTATATCTGGCCAAATCAAACACTTATAATAAATCATGAAGATATTTATTTTAAGGCAATTATTCAATGTACATATAAGTTTACGTTTTATTAGATTAAAACAAATCTGCATACTAATAGGATGCATGTGCTTGTCTATTTATGTGTATGTATTGTAGAAGAGTGAATGTTTCCCAATGTGGGACGTGTGGACACAGGGATTGATGTCAGGATGTCTTCCTCAATGGCTTTTCTCCCTTGTCTTTTTCTGAGACAAGATCTCTCAATGAACCTGGAGTTCACCATTTTGGCAAGGCTGTCTGACCAGTGAGTACCCAGGATCTGCCTGCATGTGCTTACTCCTGTGCCCCACTCCCTCCTGTGCCCCACTCCCACCCAGCTGAATATTAGATCCTGCAGGACATAGAACATCTTTGATGATTTTCAGAGTTGATCCATATGCTTTGTTTGTTGGAGATAGGGTCTCACTACGGAGCCCTGACTGGCTTGGAATTCAGTCACCTTTTTCTGCACCCCAAGTACTGAGATTTAATGTATACTCCAGCAAATTTTGATTTTCTGATTATCACGACTAAGAACACTGCTTTATATAAATACACAGCTACAAAATGGCAGAAGTATGTTTAAGATCACTTCAATAGTTAGAAATACTTTCTCCAAAAACAAATGTAAAACAAAAATCCTTACACCTATTGGAGGGGCTAAAATTGACTGACATAAAGACCAGGCAATGATGTGAAACAACTGAGAAATTTGTGAGACACTATGGGAGATGGTTGGCTTCCTTTTCTTCATTTCAAACTATTTTTTTGAAACAAGATATCATGTACCCCAGGCTGGCCAAAGACAGTTTGAGGATGACCTTGAACTTCTGGTTCTAATGCCACCTCCCAAAACCTGGGATAAAATTACTTACCATGCCTGTTTATATGGTGCTCAGGATGGACCTAGGACTTTATGCATACTAGGCATGGAAAACAGATCTTATCTTTTTAAAATAAACTTAACAGATGAATAATATACATTCCAAATTGAATTTTAAAAAATATTCTAGGTTTTGCCTTCCTTTTTGTTGTTTTTTTTTTTGTTGTTGTTGTTGTTTGGCTTTTCGAGACAGGGTTTCTCTGTGTAGCTTTGCGCCTTTCCTGGAACTCACTCTGTAGCCCAGGCTGGCCTCGAACTCACAGAGATCCACCTTCCTCTGCCTCCCAAGTACTGGGATTAAAGGCGTGTGCCACCACCACCTGGCCCTTTTTGTTTTTAAGACAGTCTCTATGTCATCCTGGCTGTCCTGGAACTCGCTCTGTCAACCAGGCTGGCCTCAAACTGACAGATTTATCTGCCACTGCCTCCTGAGTGCTTAGATTAAAGGAATGCATTACCACTGCCCGGTTTATTTCTTGTTTGTTTGTTTATGAGATAGTCTCACTGCGTAGCCCTGGCAGGACTGGAACTTGCTATGTGGACCAAGCTGGCTTTGAAGGTTTAAGATTTTTTTTATTTGTGTGCCAGGTACATGTGGGTACTTACAGAGGCCAGAAGAGGTTATCAGATCCTCTGGAGCCATAGTTAAAAGTGGTTAAGTTGCTGGGCGTTGGTGGGGCAAGCCTTTAATCCCAGCACTTGGGAGGCAAAGGCAGGCGGATCTCTGTGAGTTCGAGGCCAGCCTGGTCTACAAAGCAAGTTCCAGGAAAAGCTCCAAAGCTACACAGAGAAACCCTGTCTCAAGCCAAAAAAAAAAAAAAAAAAAAAAAGTGGTTAAGTCACCTGATGTGGGTCCTGGGAACCAAACTTGGGTCCTCTAAAAAAGCAGCAAGCATACTTACCTGCTGGGCAATCTCTCCAACCACTCCTATCCCTAAATTTACTGTCAGGATTTGAAAGGGAATGTTACTGGGCATGGTGGCTCATGCCTGTAGCCCAGCACTTGGGAGATGACAGATGCAGGAGAATCAGTTCAAAGCAAGCATTCACTAAATGTGACTGTATCTCAAAGCAAACAGGAGAGAGGGAGTTGGAGGGGCAGGAAATGGGGTTGGGGAGGGAGATGGGAATGTGGCTGGGTGGTACATGCCTGTCTCAAAAACACAGAAGGTGGAAAAAAGGAAGCAGGGAAGGAAGGCTGAAGGAAAGGGGGTTGGGTTTTTTTTTTTTAATTTTGTTTTGGTTTTTGAGATAGCATCTCTACCATTTAGTTCTGGCTAGTCTGAGACTATGAGACTAGATCAGCTTCCAACTCAGAGACCCACCCACCTTTACCTTATAAGTGCTGTGATCAAAGGTGTATGCCCCCATATCTGGCTGAAAAGACATGATTCTGAGACTTCCTATATAAAAATTTCTCCAGCAGTGATATGAGCCTAGAGTCACATCTACTTGGTTGGCTGAGTGGATCCCTTGAGCCAGAGTTCAAGGCCAACCTGGGCACCAGGTTGTTTCAGGGGGGTGGAGGTGGAGTAAAAGGAAAGGAGAAAGGGGGGGGAGGAAGAAGAGAGAAAGAGAAAAAGCAGAAGGGAGGGCAGGAAGGGGAAAAGAGAGACAGAGCTGGGGACATAGCTCAGCTATCAGAGCCTGCTTAGTATAGTCCCAGACTCTGGATTCAATCCCAACACTGTATAAACAGGGTATGGTAGTCCTAGCACTTGGGAAGTAGAGGCATGAGGATTGAAAACTTCAAGTCCAGCCCAGGCTACAGAGTGAGCTCAAAGCTAGCTTGGGTGACTTAGTGAGACCTTGTCTCAAAATAGAGTATAAGAGAAAAGGGTTTTGTGTGTATGTTAGAGATGTAGCTCAGTGGTAGCTTTTGCCTAGCACATGACATACCTAAGTTCCATTCCCAGCACTAGACAGACAGACAGACAGACAGACACATACACACACACACTCATTTAAGCAAAACTGCACCCAGGGATCTAGAAAGATGGCTCAGCAGTTAGCTCTTGCTGCTCTTCTAGAGGACCAAAAGTTCAATTCCCCCTCACAAATGCCTGTTAACTCCATCTCCAGGGCATCCAACACCCTCTTCTGGCCTCTGTGGATACCCATACACACCTGACTTTCACTCACATAGACACACACACACACACACACACACACACACACACACACACACACACACATAAATAAAAGTCGTAATAAATCTTTTAAAAACTGCATTCAGTTTACATCCATTTCAACTTAGTATTTACAAGGAGACACATCCACAGTCAATACTGTGCTTCATGAAAGGTGAGATGTGAGGCGTTTTCTCTTCCATAATGGACTGTACCCTTTCAAATGGTAAGCCAAAGTAAACTCTTCAGGCAATTTCCCATCTGTAGATGCAGAAGGGAACCCACATGTAGTATGCCAAGTGCATTACCCTTACAGCTAGCTGTGCCCCTCAGATGAGTGCTGCACCCACTCAGCACCTGCAGCTCAAATGCCAGCTGCAACTCCAACTTCTGTGGCTGGCTCACTTGAAATGCACCTGGCAAGCCCAGGTATCAACCAATGAGTAGGGCACATACTGCAAGTCAGATCTTGCAGCAATCCCAAGTGCACGTTACCAGGAAGAATGCAGTGAATCTTTTCCCCCACTTTCTGCTTTTGTGGTTTTAGAGGATGAACTCAGTGCCCAGGTATGATAGGCACACACTCTGCTCCTGAACTATGGCCCCCACCCTGACAGAACCATTTCTAAATTACCTGTAAAAGAAACCCAATTTGCTGTTTTTGTGACAGAATTTCATCGTGTATAAGCATGGTTATCCACAGTGGTGTAAACTAATACAGCTCAGGCCAGGTAGGAAACAAACTTGGTCCTCTGCCAAGCTAGACCATAGACACTGTAAAAGAGAGTACTGGGTAGATATGAATCTGGGATTGTGCTGTCTTCTCATGTTAGAACCAGTCACTCATCAGGAGACATGTCTACTCTGACTACAGTTGTCATGCTGCTTCGACCAGGTCTTGTCTGTCAAGGCCTTGTTCACTTTGTGCTTAAACTGTTTTTGTTTTGGGTTTTTTCAAGACAGGATTTCTTTGTGCACCCCTGGCTGTCCTGGAACATGCTCTTTAGACCAGGCTGGCCTTGAACTTAAGAGATTCACCTGCCTTTGCCTTCCAAATGCTGAGGTCACAGGCATGTGCCACCACCACCCTGTTCATGCTTCCACTGTGATGGATGAACAGAAAGACACTTGCAGTCTTGAAAAGCTCACAGGGCCATAACTTAGCATCAGCAAAACAGAAGGCCCTACATCTCATATCTTAGCACCTAGCCTCAGCTGCTGTCATGGATAGTGCCATGAAGTTTTTAGGAAGTCAATCCCTTCCTACATTGATTCTCAGTGCCCTGAGCCTGCTGGGCATCCTCCTGACCTATCAGAAAGGGACTCAGAAACAAGGTAATATCATTCAGGCTAGGGCATGGTAAGGGCTGCAAATTGCAGGGTGTAGTCCAGGATAGGCAGAACAGCATCTGGGTCTTTCAACTCTACACTCAGACCCTGTTGCACTGTTTATTCCATAATCAGTTACTTTGGGGGATAGATACCAAGGCATATGGACTGAAAGCAAAAAATTGTAATTTATAACAGTGGTTCTCAACTTTGCTAATGCTGCAACCCTTTAATACAGTTCCTCATGTTGTCCTGACCCCCAACCATAAAATTCTTTCCATTGCTACTTCATAACTGTAATATTGCTACTGTTATGAATCATAATGTTCATATCTGATGCACAGGATATCTGATATGCAACCCCTATGGGAGAGTTGAGACCCACAGGTTAAGAACCGCTGGTTTACAACATACCCAGCTATGCTCTTAGACAGACTCACGGGAGTAATAAAACATAAACCAAAACTGACAACACTGAGGAATCAAGGTAATCACATACATGAGCAAAATCCAAGTGCTTTATAAAACCACCTCTGCTTCTTCAGGCATTATCTCCTGGATGAACTCTAGTATGTGGCTCATGATTGTGTAGATTTTGTCATTGAGCAGCTATTTCTGTGTGTGGATACACCAGTTCCCCTTTCTAAGGCATGCTCACAGCAGCAGTAGTGAGGGCTAAAGGGATGATGCCACAGAGCAGTGGGCTTTGTGGAGCTGAGGGCGCAAGCCATGCCCATTTGTATGAAAAGACAGTCCTGTTTATGCCAAAAGGCTCTGGGGAGGAGTTTAGAGGAGGCTAGACATTAGAAAGCAGTTTCACCCATTCCAGGGTCCATGGAGCCTCAGCTCTATCTTCCTGCCCCGTGAAGGTAACCGATGAGCTGGACCTCCTTAGAACCCAAAGCCTAAGTGGGCTACCCTCTTAATTTTCTGCTCTACTTATTTATTTTTAAATGTACATTGGATCAAATCAGGTCCTCATATATGCTAAGCCAGTGTTCCACTCAGTGGATAGCTGACACTCTTCATCCACCTTTCCCCTGCTATGAGATGAGTCCAACTCAGAGCTGAATGCACAGGTCAGGTAGAAACTGACTCACCCACCAATGGTCCAGCTTGCCAAGAGTTGTAGCTGCTGACCTTTGGTAACTACGAAGAGCATGGCTCACTGTTACTACAACTTAAAATTAGCATAATTTTCTTTAAAATTACTTTTTGGGGGGTGACCTTGGTGGCACACATGCATACACCATGGTGCCTGTGATAATTTATGGGAGTTGGTCTCTCCTTCCACCAAGTGGGCACCACAGGTCAAACTAAGGTTGTCAAACTAAGGTTCATACCAATGAGCCATCTTATGGGCCCTAGAATTCAAACTTATTTTCAAAAATGTGTACAAGTACAAGAGCCAAACTGGGCAGGGTTAGGGTTAGGGCAGAAGCCATAGTTATCTACCTTACAGCAGTCTGGCCCTTCCTGACATCCTCATTTCTGCAGCAATAAACTGAGGCTCATGGATCACAACTCCAGGGGCTTGAGTCTTTAAGAACACATTTTGAGATGGGCGGTAGTGGCACACGCCTTCAGTCCTAGCACTTGGGAGGCAAAGGCAGGCAGATCTCTGTGAGTTCAAGACCATCCTGATCTACAGAGTGAGATCCAGGACAGCTAAGGATACACAGAGAAACCCTGTCTCGAAAAACAAAACAACCAAACAAAAAAATGAACATTTTCAATTAAAAACAAACAAACAAACAAACAACAACAACAACAAAAAAAAAACCTGCAAGACAGGGTTATGTCCCTGGCCTCACTCTTTGGGATCTTTCTTATAATTTTGGATTAAAAGAATACTCAGAGAGGAAAAGTGCTTCTCCCATGTGAAAACATTCCACTCCCTCATACACTACAAAGATAGCACCATGTTGCACGTTGCGGAGGAGCACTGCCAAAACTGGAGTGACCCATTGTTGTTGAAGCGTCCACCACTCTCCACTCAGAGCTGTCTTCTCCTGCCCTCCTGGCTTTGTCACCACTTGATATCCAAGCTGTCTGTGCAGGCCTCCAAGCTCTGGTATGTGGTGTGCAGCACCTCCTGGACTTTGGGGGACTCAGTACCCTCCAGCCACTCCTGGTACAACTCCTGCACATGTGCACTGCTCTCTGGGGGCCGCACAGGAATGCCGGAGTAGATCCCTTCCATTTGCCGCAGTAGTGCACGATCTGTGTGGCCGTCCTCTCTCTGTGCTTGGCCTCTGCCATTTAAGCATCCTGAAAGATACACACAGGTGGACCTCTTCTTCCCTGTGGGGTAGTCAGTTACCAGGGAGCTGTACATCAAGGGACACAGCTGGAAGCAAGAGAAGCACGAAACAGGCAGTGCCATGTGGCCTGAGCTTGTTTCTGGGGCTCATAGTATTCTCTGAGGTTATCATGGAGCCTGCCCAGGAGGAGAGCCCTGGATGTTCTTTAGTTTTACCATATACATTACCCATAAACTGTTTTTCTTTTTAATAATTTATTTATTTTTATTTTATGTACATTGGTGTTTTGCCTGAATGTCTGTGTAAAGGTGTCAGATCCCCTGGAACTGGAACCACAGACAGTTGTATACTGCCATGTGGGAGCTGGGAATTGAACCTGGGTCCTCTGGAAGAACCGCCACTGCTCTTAACCTCTGAGCCATCTCTCCAGCCCCACCATAAACTGGTTTTACCTAAAAGCCTTTAGAAGTGGGCAGCTTTCTCCTATGGAACGGCTGAAAAGCTGTGAGCACAACTACCTGCACACAGTGTTGTCAGTGTGCAGGCCCAACAAGGCTGCATTAGGGCTGAGCAAGCGAGCTATGAGCTCTCCATGAGCATCCATGTAGTCTAAGTAAGCGTGTCTCCTACTGTCAGTCTACCCACTCTTAAGCCTGCAGATCACACACACACACACACACACACACACACTCCAAAATGCATTAAGTACAATAGCTTGGAGGTAGGATGTGTGTCTAAAAGGCTCAAGTTCCTAGTTTCTACTCCTAGCATCAAGACTTTCATTTAAAAGAACCAGGAGATGGGCTGGGAATGCATAGCTCAGTGGAAAGCTATATGAAAGTACTTACTACCATATACAATGCTTTGGGTTCAGACTGCAGCACCAGGGGGAAAAAATAGGAACAAATTCCCACCTGGTTAAACTTCACTCCCCACTGATCCAAGCCATGTGACAGCTGGACTTTTGATGTCCACTTTTTCAGTGGGCATGCATCCACTTCCTCTCCTTTCCAGGCCTATGCACAGTTTTCCCCAGAAAGCAAGATGGGCTTTCCCAGAGGCTCCACCCACCAGCCATCTTGTCTCTGCTCACTGTAGCACAGGGTTCCAACAGGAAAAGTAGCTGCCCCTGCTCTCATCCCCCTCTCAAATGCTGGCTGCTGGCAGCTTCCCTCCTCTAGAAGATTCTGTAGGACATGGACTAGAAATATAGGCCTCTCCTTTGTCTCACTCTTTACGAATCCTTTCTTCATTTCTGATGGTACACCTTGCCTGGCTCCCTCTGGGCCTTTCTGAGAACTCTAGTGTTCCTACTTGAGTACCTTTTATCACCCCAAACTCAGGATGACCTAGGCATTCCTGGTCCTGAGGCAGCCCCTTCACACCCAGAACACTTCAGATCGGAGGCTCCCCTCATTCTCCAATACCTATACCTTCTCTATCAGTAAGAGATTCCAGGCACTACATCTTATCTTAGCTCTGGCCTGCTCTCATTTCTCTCCACCCTAGATGAGAACTTTCCTCACCTGCCTGGGTCTTTACACCTGGATGGTTAATTTCCCTTTGAAGCAGGGGGAACTCTTAGAGAGCAAGTACCATCTGTCCCTTCCTACTGCCACTCTTCACAGGGTCAGCGTCTCCTCATAGTCCCTGTGTACCAACTCCATGTTAGTGACCTTAGGAGCTGGTTCCCATCTGGTACCACGTGGGGCTCCCATATGGCACTTACAAAGGAATGTCTAGGGATACAACTTTCCACTTTCACACTACAATTGAGGGAAGGGAACCTTCATGGCTGAGGACAGCATGCCACGGCATGAGGAAGCAACCTGCCCTACATTAGTGGCTATTAGTGGGCCTTCTGCACCCCTTACCTCTGGGACATGCGAGGACCTCCACGAAGTGATACGGGAATTTGCCCTTCTTGAGTTTCAGGATCATGTTCTGGATATTGCGAAAGCCATATGCTGCAGCAAAGCGCAGTAAAACCTCCCCATTCTTCTCAAGGGTAACCTCATGGAAGTCTTTGTTTCTATAAGTCAATAAAATGGATTTTAATGGTCAGTGACCTAAAGATCACTTCTGCTTGTTTGAGGTACAGTCTTACTATGTGGACCAGGCTGACCTTGAACTCACAATTTTTCCTCAGTCTCCCCAGTGCTACGTTTACTATATCTGCCCATTTTTCAATTTAAGTTTTGAATGTTACCAAGATAATTTCAATGGGAAGACACACAAAAGGCCCTTCTATCCAGTGCTGGCTTTCCTATAAGAGCCACTGGGAGAACAGCCATGTATACCACATCCATCAGACACACTACACATACTGTATTCAGGCCACAGACATCACACCCTGGCTCTGGCTGATCTCTCAGCACCACTCCTGGGTACACCAGCTGTAGATATGCTGGCTCAAACCTTAGTGCACGGTAGGTGATCTCCTCTACGTGCTCGCCAAACAACTCTTTGGCTGCATGTCTGAAGACGTGGGCCAGATGCCCATCCGAGCTCACTCCATCGTGACGCCGTACTGCCTCCTCCTTCACATCTCCAAACCTCAAACAGATAGGATAAAATCATTAGTGCTGATAAAGAGCAGCAAGTATGTACTTTTCTGTGTCAACTTGACATGTGAGCTAGAGTAATCAGAGAGGAAGAAGCATCCAGCTGTAGGGCATTTTCTCAATTAGTGATCAACGGGGAGGGCCCAGCACATTTCTGGGTGGTGCTATCCCTGGGTTGGTGGTCATGGGTTCTCTAAGAAAGCAGGCTGAACAAGCCAGGGGAAGCAAGCCTGTAAGCAGCACCCCTGCATGCCTCTGCATCAGCCCCTGCCTCCAGGATCCTGTCCTGTTTGAGTTCCTGTCCTGACCTCCTTCAGTGGAAGTGTAAGCCAAATAAATCCCTTCTTCCCCAACTTGCTTTTTGGTCATGGTATTTCATTACAGCAACAGAAACCCTGACTAAGACAAAATACTAACTCAGTTTTTATAGGAACAGGATCCAGGGAGCCACTAAAGGTTAGTCCTTTGCAGGTACTTAAACTTTGGGGAGCTACCATGTGGGTGCTAAGAACCAAACCTGGATCCTCTGAAAGAGCAGTAAATGCTCTTAACCCACTGAGTCATCTCCAAATGACTCCAAAAGCATATTCTTAATAAGGTCTAATGATCAACATGGAATGTCGTCTCACATCTAGCCCAAGACTGCAAGTGGGGCTATGTCACTGGGTTCACTCATTTGCTTCTTTGTGCAGCTACATGTGCATTCAGGGCAGGACAGTGGTGGGGTGACTTAAGCATGTCCAGGCCAGAATGAGGACCCTTGGTCACCCTGGGTCCAAGGTCAGCTCCAGCAGCAGGTACTCCAGCTGTTGTAATTCTACAAACTTCCATCTCACCTCCCATAAAAGGGGGTACAAATGTAGTACCCAGGCCAAAGGTTGTTCACTTGGTCTTTGCATTATACTTTGTATGGGACCCAAGGATGCAGCAAAAGCCAGTCCTAGCTGGGGATCAGGGTCACCATGAGAAACAGAAACCCAGCAGCTGTGTTCTTGGTGCAAAGGGACCAGAGGTAGCCACAGTGTTAGATGTGTGGCTCTGCTCCACACAGCTTCTATGACTGCCTTTCTTCCTGAAGGATACAGTAAGCTCCCAAACCCCCTGGCAGTACTAGAGAATAGTGTCCCAGTCCAGGATCCTGCCTGAATCTGTTTCAAAGGCCAGGTTGGTAAGGCTGCAGGAACCTGTCTCAGTACTCACATGATCTGATTAGGGCAGCCCTGAGGCCTGCTAAGCTCACCAGAGGCCCCTCCCAACTTACAAAGATGCCACTTACAAAGTATCCACAGCAGTGTCTTTCACAGAGAGGTCACTTTGCTCCATTATCTGAGCAATTTCACCTGGAGAAAAACAAGAGGCATGAGTTACTGAAAGGAGGACACGTGGCCCAGAACTCTGGGCCAGGCTTTGCTTCTCCCAGAGAAAGTCTACATTAGAAGAAACCTAGGACCCCTCCTTGCTGTATAACCCATTTCATTTATTAGGAGCCCCTCACCAGGAAAAAATAATGCTAACATCAGAAAAGCACTTAAAAAAAAAAAGTGAAAGCCGGGCGGTGGTGGCGCACGCCTTTAATCCCAGCACTCGGGAGGCAGAGCCAGGCGGATCTCTGTGAGTTCGAGGCCAGCCTGGACTACCAAGTGAGTTCCAGGAAAGGCGCAAAGCTACACAGAGAAACCCTGTCTCGAAAAACCAAAAAAAAAAAAAAAAAAAAAGTGAAAACAGAATCCTCTTTTGGACCCTGAACTGAGGTAATTCTGTAGTTGCTTCATGCTGCCTCAAAGTGGCAGCTTGTGTATGCACACCACACTGCTATGTTGTGACACGTGGACACTGTGCATCAAAAGCTGCTCATAACCAGAAGCACTTTGTATACCATCTTCTTTCTACATAAGGGTTCTCAAGAAAAACCCCTGGTAGAGTCCCCTAGACAACAGTAAGACATCATTAACACACAGCACAGGTTGAGTTCTCAAGGTGGTTCTAAGACAGTCCCCTGAAGGTTCTTATTCCATCAATGTAAGTAGAGAGACACTGGGCCCCTGCTCAAGAAGTATAGAACAGCACCACTGAACACCTTGCCCTCCCTGCCACACTGTTCCACCTTGGTCAAAGCTAGAATCCCAGGAAAGGGAGGAAGAGGGCTCCTGATCTTCAAGGTCATCCTGAGAGATAACCAGGCCACTTGACCCTGGTCTAAACACCTTCAAGGATCAGTTTTCAGAGTCTAATTCAAGTAGACAAGCCTGGATCCTAACAAGCTCCCCACAAGCACTCTTGGCCTTCTTTCTTCTGAAAAGCTCCCAGGACACCAGTGGATAATTTTCATCCTCAACCAAATTTGTCAGTCTCTAAAGCAGTGATTCTCAACTTTCCTAATGCTTTGACCCCTTTTATAAAATCCTCATGTTGTGGTGACCCCAAACACAAAATTATTCGCCTTGCTACTTCATAACTATAATTGTTCTACTGTTATGAATCATAATGTAAATATCTGCTGTGACCCCTGTCAGGGTTGCAGCCCACAGGTTGAGAACCGCTGCCCTAAAGCATAGCATCTGCAAAGCGCTACCAACAGGGCCACTAAATGCAACATTACTAAAGTATAAATGAATTTTCCACTTCATTCAGTGTAAAACATTCTTTGTGTCCTACAGTATACTGGTTTTCTCACATGTGGAAAAGTGTGGAGGATCTTCGCAGGTTTTACAAGCAGGCATCCACAAGGAAATGAAAATTCAGCCTGATTTTTGGTACTGGTGCTGGGCCAAGACTCTGAGAGTCTGACCACCAGTTCATCTACGTCAGCCATATTAAGCACAATTTTGGAAACAAGTTTTCTGATAACAATTAACTTGGCCCTGTAATTACACAAAGCTTAAGACATATTTACATTGAAGCTCTTTACAAAATACATATGGTTTCATCCCTAAGATAAGGTTTCTTGTTGACTTAGAAGCAATGCTCAAGATAAGAGTCTAGGGAGAATGACTGAAGTAAACATAATGCCCATGGGAGTCAGGATTTGGTGTGACCCTAAGATAACATAAAAATCACTTAGGCTGTTGTAAAGTACAAAAGACATCACTCATAAGGATGGGTTTTATGGCCTAGAAACAATGCTCAAGATTGATGGGGAAAGGGTCTAGAATAAGTAAAACCTAAATTCTGGAGGATACGGGCAAAGCCTGGCTCAAGAGATAGTAAAGGATCACCAGGTTGTAAACTACACCCACTACCAGAATTCCAGGAGGAGGACAGGTTAAGCATTTCTTTCCTCTGAAGGATGCTTACATGTTTAACCTTCCTGGCTTCTCCAGTGCACAAGCACTTTTTGTTGATGGGCCATGATGTAAAAACACATCACCTAAGAGCCATGTTGCCAATATCGTTCTCCCACAGACCTGACTCATCTGGAGGAAGACTGAGAGGAGGAAAGATGCAGAACCTTTCTCTTCACTTTAGGCCACTGAGCCCCCAAGAATCCTTAGTTATCAGTGCCATCAGACAGCTTAGCCAGACTGGCCTGTTAGAGACATGCTCACTTTCTGAGCCCACCTCTCACCTGAAGTCAGCACACAGTCAGTGCCCCTGGCACCATTCAAAGTAGTGGAAAGTCCCTCTCGAAGAGCTTCCAGCTTCTTATCATAGCAAGGAGCCACGACAACATGGAAAATTTTCTCTGGAGACAGATTCTGCGGAGGACAGCACTCAGCTTAGAGCTTCAGGGAAGCAATGATGGCAACTAGATCATGGGAGAGTCCCAAATGCTGCTCCCACCCTACCCCATGTATGGTGCTGTCTCATGAGCTCTGCACAGGTAAGAACAGGTCTGTGTTCCACTTGTTTTACTGGAAGACTTTATGAAGCTGTTCAAGTAACAACATCTAGGCCACTCCTCTCCTGAGACAAACCAAGAGCCAGTTGCCCAGTGACTTTTACATTTAGGCCAGAGTAGAAAAGCCATATTCAGGGTAGGGGTAGAGTCCAAGAGGAAACAAACCTTGATCTAGCCCTCTAGGGGTTAAGCCAAGAGGTTGCTACGGCCCAGAACTCTAGGCCCAGCTGTTCCTACTAGCAGCTGCAATCAGATCTGTAACTTTGGGCTCCACTCAGACAGCACAGGGCTGGGAGCCCTGAGAAGACTAACAAACACCAGAACTCTCACAGCAGGTATAAGAGGGCAAGTGGGCGAGGAGGGGGAGGAGCTGAAGAGATGGCTCAGAGGTTAAGAACACTGGCTGCTCTTCCAGAGGTCCTGAGTTCAATTCCCAGCATACAACCATCTACAATTCGATTTAGTGCCCTCTTCTGGCATTTAAGCAGAACACTGTATACATAATAAATAAATAAATCTTTAAAAAAAAAAAAGGCAGGCTGGGAGTGGGGTGGGCATCTGTGGCCTGGAGCAAAAAGCCAGGATAGAGGTGAGGCTTAGCTTCCTGAGGTACCCAGAACAGAAGCGATCAGGCAGTGTCTCCATAGACGAGGTCCAGGGCCACCCTGTCCATAGAGTGTTTGGTGTTCCCCTCAGGCCTTACTCACCTTGAGTCCACCCTCTGCTGCTGTTCTCTGGAAAGGCTGGCTTACCTGCTGTCTAGCAAAGTAATCCTTCACCAAGGAGCCCATGACCTGCTGGGGGGACTTAGCAGTGCAGAGATGTGGGATGACTGGGTGGCCCAGCACACGCTCAGCATATCTGACCCAACCTAAAGAGAGAAGGAGAAATAGAAAGATGGAGAGAAAGAACACATGAAGTCAGTTCCCTCTGCTTCCCCCTGCCCTCTGACTGAGACTGTCATCCCAGGATGAGCCAAGACACCTCCTCGACAATGTCCCTATTCATAAGGTGACCTGCTCTACAAGGTTGAGTGAGATAGGCCTGCCCACTTCCAACCAAATCCAGGGCCACATTTTTTCTACAGTTCTGGTGAAATGGTACCAGCAGGCTTGTGCTCACCAGGACAGGCAGAGGTCAACATGGGCAGTTCACGCTGCTCCTCACTATGCTGGTGATACCGGCGTACAAATTCCTTCTGACTCTCCAAGATGCTGAAATCCGCAGCAATTGTGGTGTCAAATACATAGTGCACCCCTGCAGGAAAGAGAGACATGGATGTTTCTCTCAGACCAAGTATGGATCCAGATCACATCTGATTTCAAGTACTCTCTTTCTTTCATTTTATATTAAGACAAGGTTTTACTATGCAGCCCTCACTGGTCCAGAGCTCATTAGGTCATGTAGACTAGGCTAGCCTTGAACTTGCGATGATCTGTCTGATTCCCAAGTGCCATGATTAAAAGCATGGAACACAACACCTGGCTTTTTATTTTGTTTTTTTTTTTTTTTTTTTTTTTCTTTTTTTGGAGCTGAGGATCAAACCCAGGGCCTTGTGCTTGCTAGGCAAGCGCTCTACCACTGAGCTAAATCCCCAACCTTGGTATTTTTGACAAAGTCTTTCTATGTAGCCCAGGTGGATGCGAGCCCAGGAATGTGAGCATTATAGGTAGACACAACCATCCCCAGCTTTTGAGCCCCCAGTTCTTCCTCAACTGTTTCAGACATAAACACAGATCACAGATTTGATGACACCTGCCTCTCCTTACCATCTGACCACAGTTAGTCTTGATACTTTTCTTACAACAGTAGCCTGGTTCAGACTGGGCATTTTACTTGTTTGTTGTTTGAAACAAAGTCTTGTTATATAGTCCTAGCCAGCCTGGAACTCACTATAGTCACCAGGTCGGCCTTGAACTCATGGATGATCCTCCTGCCTCTGCTTCCTGAGTGCTACTTATAGATGTGCTACAGTATCTTTCTGACTCTCACTTTTATGTATGGTGTTGAGGGACAGTGAATTTACACCAGCACTCTCCTGTATTCGAGAGAGCCCTTACTTGCTGAACTATTTTGCTGAACCTTACTTGTTGAGATAGTTTTCTCACAGAATCTGAAGTGTGCTATTTTGGCTAGACTGGCTAGCTAGGGAGCTCCTGAAAACAACCTGTCTCCATTCTTCCAATGCTAAAGTTAGAGGAGTCGGCTGCCACACCTAGCTCTTTTTTTTTTCAGACAGGGTCTCACTGTATATCTGCGGATGGCCTAGTGCTTACCATGTACACCAAGCTGGTCTTGAACTCAGAGATCCACCTGCCTCTGTCTCCCAGCGCTGGGATTAAAGCTATGTGCACCACTGGAGCAAATTACCTTTCATTCCTCCCATAAAAAACACATGCCTGGGGCTAGAGATGTAGGTGAGGGCTACAGCTTACCTAGCTAGAAAAGGTTCTTAGGAAAATGGACATTAGTCATTGCAGAAATAATTATCAAATAATCATTCTGTGAGCTAGAGGCAAGTATAGGAGCCTCCTAGTAATCACTGTCTACCTGTCAGCAGGGGGTTACCTCTTACTACAGACCAGTCAATCTCATTGTAACAAAACATCTATCTGCACACAACACAAGGTATGTGACACCCCCACCTACCACTGGTAGCAAGCTGGATTCCTGACACAAGGGATGGGGTCCTTTGACATTCCAGGTTTTTCTATCCTATGCCCTTGAAAACTGAACTTGAAAAATAAAAAAACAACCTTTCATGAACTGAAAGTATACTCCTACAGTACTATAAAAAAGTAACTGGCCAGGCAGTGGTGGTACACACCTTTAAGCCCAGTACTTGGGAGGCAGAGGTAGGCAGATCTCTGTGAGTTTGAGGCCAGCCTGGTTTACAAATTGAGTTCCAGGACAGCCAGGGCTACACAGAAAAAAAATCTGTCTCAAAAACTAAAAAAGGGATTGACTCACCAAGACTTTTGAGGAAGCCACAGAGTCTTCTGGATGCATCGGTGACACTGAGGTTGAATTTAGCAGCAAAATAAGGCAGAGACTGAGGACACACAGACACAACCAGCACTCTGTGCTTTGAGGTGTCACATTTCTAGAAGAAAAAACAATAATGTCACATGTGTATTGATTGCATCAGGAGCAAAGTAATGGAAAATTCATAGTAAATGAAATTTTTGTTTGTTTGTTTTGAGACAGGGTTTCTCTTCTTTGTATGGCCCTGGCTGTCCTGGAATTCACTCTGCAGACCAGGCTGGCCTCGAACTCAGAGATTCACCTGCCTCTGCCTCCAAAGGCATTCACCACCATAGCCCAGCAAAAACATAAAAGTTTTAAAACACATTTTTAAAAAAAGAAAGAAAAGAAAAAGATGTAGGCTATAGAGCAAGTTCTAGGGAAGCCAGGACTATCACAGAGAAGAAAAACCCTGTCTCGAAAAACAAACAAAAAAGATGAATAGGATCTTGGTGTGGTGGTGAGTAGTTGACCTATAATCTTATCACTCAGGAGATGGGAGCAGGAGGATCAGCAGCACATCTGTATACCTAGGCCTCCAGTGTTGTCTATGAGGCTCCAGATGGGGCTCATTATCTGCAGATGAAATGCAGGATGACAGGGATGTCGACAATAAATTACTAACAAAATCCAATTTAGAAGTAAACTTAAAAGCATTTCTACTAATGTCCAAAGGAAGGTTTTAACTAGTACTACTTATCACCATTGTTACTTTGTACCAGTTTATCCAAAAACAAGATGTACAAAACTTCTGTCATGGCAGCACATGCCTATACTCCTAGCACTCTAGAGGCTAAGACAGGGGAATAGAAATTTTGAGACCAGCCTCAGATATATATTAGACACTGTCACACAACACAAAAAGGTAATGATTACAAAAATGAATTTTTTCATCTAATAAACTTATAAAACTAAAATACTTTGGCAAATTAGTCATATACTAAGTTTATAAAATGCCATACACAGGGGGCTGGAGAGATGGCTCAGAGGTTAAGAGCATCGACTGCTCTTCCAGAGGTCCTGAGTTCAATTCCTAGCAACCACATGGTGGCTCACCACCATCTGTAATGAGATCTGGCACCCTCTTCTGTATACATAATAATAAATAAATAAATCTTTAAAAAAAAAATAAATAAAATAAAATGCCATACACAAAACTGACACATTAACCATAGAATTCCAACACACCTACAAAAATCAACATTGTGGAATGTAGCAATAGAATGTAATATGTTTTGCAAAGCATCAGTGAACCCCATCACATCAAGAACAAGTTGCAGATACAAAGAATCAAGGAGCATTGACACACACTGATGGACCAGATCCTCAGGTCATGGCTGGCTGGCAAGTACCCTGGATACTTTTATCTAATCATCTATCTATCTATCTATCTATCTATCTATCTATCTATCTATCTATCTATCATCTATCTACCATCTATCTATCTATCTATCTATCTATCTATCTATCTATCTACCATCTATCTATCTATCTATCTATCTATCTATCTATCTATCTACCATCTATCTATGCTGGCTAGTTTTATGTGAACTTGACACAAGCTAGAGTTATCTGAAAGGAGGGAAACTCAATTGAGAAAATGTCTCCATAAGATACAGCTGCAGCAGGGCTGGAGAGATGGCTCAAAGGTTAAGAGCACTGGCCTAAGTTCAATTCCCAGCAACCACATGGTGGCTTACAACCATCTCTAATGAGATCTGGTGCCCTCTTCTGGCTTGCAGGCATGCATGCAAGCAGAACACTGTTTAAGAAAAAAAAAAAAATGCAGCTGCAGGGCATTTTCTTAATTAGTGATGGATGGGAGAGGGCCTATTTTGATTGGTGCCTTCCCAGGCTGGTGGTCCTGGGTTCTATAAGAAAGCAGGCTGAGCAAGCCATGATGAGCAAGCCAGTAAGCAGCACTCTTCCAGGAGCATCAGCTCCTGCCTCCAGGTTCCTGCCCTGTTTGAGTTCCTAACCTGACTTTCCCTTCAATGATGCAATAAGATGTGGAAGTATAAGCCAAATAAATCCTTTCCTCCCAAACTTGGTTTTGGTCATAGTGTTTCATCACAGTAATAGTAACCCTAACTAGGACTTTATCATATCTATCTATCTATCTTTCTATCTATCTGTATTGAGGATTGAACCTAGTACAAGTGTTCTATCAATGAGCTATTCATTCATTCATTCATTCACTCATTCATAAACAAGGTCTTGTTAAGTTGCTCAGGGTGGTCTTGAACTTGCAATTCTCCTGCCTCAGTTTCCCAGTAGTTGGAATTACAGACCTGCACCATCAGTTCCAGCAGACACCATACCTTATTAAGATTCAAGACATGGAAGAAGTCTTTGGCACTCTGCTGGGAAAGCTGGACTCCTTCCTCCACGGTCACACAGCTGTCACAGGCCAGGCAGTCACTCAGAAATATCTTCGAATCTGCCAACTTATGGAATTCTCCCTTCTAGGAAAGAAAATGGTGTTCACACTGTTTCTTTTCCTTTTGGTTTTTATTTTTTTCTTCAGTTTTTTGAGACAGGGTTTCTCTGTATAGCCCGGCTGTCCTTGAACTCTGTCTGTAGACCAGGCTGGCCTCGAACTCAGAGATCCACCTGTTTGTTTTTTTGTTTTGTTTCGGTAGCATTGTTTCTTTAGGGAAGGTAAATGCATAAGCACAATAAAGAAAAGAATCTACACTTAACATGGAGACAAAGTCAGGCCTGAAGTGTCAGGAGGAGCTACTGGGCAATGGTCTCTGTTCTGAACAGTTCACGGCAGTGGAGGCACATGTCACGGCACAGGCCCCTGATGGCACTTAGGATCATGCAGATGACAAGCAAGGGTAAACTAGCCCCAGTGTTATCGTGTGGAAAGACGATACCCCTGCCTGCTGCAAACTGGCCTAAATGCTGTCTCCACGTCCTCTTCTTCCACCCTTCCTCTCCAGTGCCCTGAACAAGCCTCAGGTTCCCTGCCTAGCTCTTCCAGCTCCACACTGCTGAGCAGACTTTCCATACAGTCAGGACTTGCTTGAGGTTCCCTCTTGTATGCAACACAGACCTCAGCTCCCAGCTCTGAACTGCTGGTGCTCATTTCTGCCTCACCTTACCTCAATAAAGGGAGACTGATCACCTGGATGCTGGAACTCTATGACCTTGGTCCCTTTAACCCCATTTTGTATTCACCCCTGTGCCCCACTCTGGCTCTTTTTGGTCCCCAGAGAAATCTACTAAAGCACAAGTCACATTTCCACTGCTCAAAGCCCTTGACAGCACTCTCTCAGAACAGGGTCCACAGCACAGCTTTTGCCTGCCCCTGCCCTGCCCCACCCTGCCCTGCCCTGCCCTGCCCCGCCCTGCCTGGCCCAGGGGCTCACATTCAGCCACATTGGCTTTGTTCTTGAGTTCTTTCACAGGAATATTCCAAATGAGCTCTCACTCACCTATTGGCCTAACAGAGCTGGCATCCTGAGATTTATTTTCAGTGCCCACTAGCATAGTGTCAACTTGCTTGTCCCTTCCAAATGACCTCACAGAGGTTGGCATTTTATGTTCCTTATGCTCCCCAGCCCCTCTAAAAGCCTAGAAGGTGCTTAGGTGCTAGAGGTGTAGGTGACTTACACACCCCTCCTAGCAAGTACAAGGCTCTAGGTTCAAACTGTATTAGTAAAAAATAAAATAAGCCAGGTGATGTGGCACATGCCTTTAATCTCAGGACTCCTGAGACAGAGAAAGAATCATTGAGCTTAAGGCCAGCATGGTTCCAAGCCATAGATACATATGTGACCCTGTCTCAAAAAGAAAAATAAATAAATAGAAGCTGGGGATGGCTCAGCAGTTAAGAGCACTGGCTGCTCTTTTGAGGACCCAGGTTCAATTGCCAGCATCCATATAGTGGTTAACAACTATTTGTAATTCCAGTTCCAGGGTATTCAAACATCCTCTTCTGACATGAATGAACACCAGGCATTTATATGGTACAGACATCCATCAGATGTTCCATTCTATTTTGAATTCTAACCTTCAGGGCCCAGTCTACCAACTCCTTCCCAACACTCCTCAGCCTTTTAAAAAGTATGTCCAGCCAGGCGGTGGTGGCGCACACCTTTAATCCCAGCACTCGGGAGGCAGAGGCAGGCAGATCTCTGTGAGTTTGAGGCCAGCCTGGTCTACAGAGTGAGATCCAGGACAGGCACCAAAACTACACAGAGAAATCCTGTCTTGAAAAACCAAAAAAAAAAAAGTATGTCCACACTAAACTACCAAGGTGCTGGTTAGACTGTGTTCAAACTTATCTCATCCTTACCAGAACCCTGGGAGAGAAGAAACCCAACTCCCCAAAACACTGATAAGAAATAGGGCCACAAAATATTGTAGGTTTATTTCATTTTTTTTTTTTTTTTTTGAGACGGAATTTTGCTGTGTAGTCTAGGCAGGCCTCAAACTCATGACACTTTGCCTCTACTTCTGAAGTATGTACTAGCATGCCAATGGGATTAGATTTCTTTCCAAAGTCATACAATAGTGTCAACATTAGGGAGCAGTCCTGCTGTCTACAGCACTGGCCCAAACTGACACACAACTCCAGAGGCCACTACTCTTGGTGCACTGCTCTTCCCCAAAGGCTTAGTCTCCAAAGCACAATAATGCACACAGGAGAGCCAGAACTATGCCCAACAGATTAAACAGTACATCAGAACTACTAAATCTAAGAGGAAAATCCTAGTAACCTATTTCTCCCATGTTATTAGTTTTCCACTTATATAAAAAAAAGCTGATTTTTTTGTTTTGTTTTTTACACTGACTGCTTGCTTGCTTGCTTAATAGTGGGATGGGGGGAGGGGGGGTTGAGTCATGGCATATGTGTTGGTATAGAGGTAGAAAGGCAACTAGTGAAAGCTGGTTCTCTCCTGTCACCTATGTGTTCATATGTCACATATAGGTCTTGGGAATCAAGCTGGCATCCTGAGGCTTGGTGGCAAGTGTCTTTACTAGCTGAACTACCTAACTAGCTCTAAAATCAATTTGTTTGTTTGTGATTGAGCCTAGGGCCTCAGGATAGCTAGCCAAGAACTCTATCAGTTGACTTAAATCCTAAGTTATTGTTTTTGAGACAAGGTTTCATGTATAGCTTAGACTGGACTCAGACTAAGACTCCAGAGGTATGCCACGATGCCTGACTAGTCCTAATATTTTCTAAGAGAACAGTGACTGTAACTTTCTCTGTGAATCCAGAACATAGCAAGACACATGCAGAGGCAAATGCCCCTCAGAGCATAAGTAGGTCTAAAACCCAGCTCAGAGTGTGATACAATAAGTACAAATAAGCATCATTACTAGCTAAAACAAGAACTGAACTAAAGAAACAGCAATTTAAACACCAAGCTTAAAGAATCATGAAACTTGAGTTATATCTTTTCACATGTTACAGAATCTAAGCTCCTTTCATTTTATAGAATACAGCTTTCAACAGTGCACCAGGATGATGTTATTTCTCATGTAGTACCTGGCCTGGTATGTTTGAGATGACTCAAGACTATCCTATACATGACCCTTACCATTTTTTACTTCTATCTTTCTTAGAGCAGTGAAGTGCAAGGTGATATGAATGTCTAGCGGGAGAAAACACAGCAGCAGCTACTCCACTCACATTAGGCTGACACAACTGAAATGTTTACTTGCCTCTTCATTCTCCTGGGCTGGACTTGATACATCAGTGGACACATTCTCCTGGTCATCAGTTTTTGATTTTTTACTACATTCCTTAAAAAAAAAGAGGGGGGGGGAATGACAAGGAAATGTTAGAAGGGGAAAATTCTTCTTCTTTGTTTTATTTCAGCTTTCTTTGAGATCAGGTCTTTCTATATAGCCCTGGAACTCACTATGTAGAACAGGCTGACCTCAAACTACTCACAGAGATCCTCCTGCCTCTGCCTCCTGAGTGCTAGAATTAAGGTGTGTGCTACTATACCAGACTTAAAGAAAAAAAAATGAGATAGGTTCTTGATAAATTGCACTGTCTAACTTTGAGTACATGATCTCCTGGCTCAGTCTCTCCATCACAGGTATGTACCACCAAGCTCAGCCAAGAATAATTTAGTGTGATTCTCTTCATTACCAAAAAAACAAAACATATCCTGAGCCGTTAATCTTACTTCTAGAAACCATTTCTATAGAAATAAAATCATTCCTATTTAAGCATGGATACACAGAAACACAAGCTGCGTGCGCGCACATACCTCCATCTGCATTGTTTTTGATGATTAACAACAGAAGTGATATAACCTTCATGAGTACAAGAACACTTAGATGTGGCTATCACACAAAAATACAGGTGATTTCCTGAAAGATGTTTACTTACCACTTATGGTGGTAATTAAAAAAGAACAACTTATGGGGTGTTTGTATATGATACAATCCCTAAAAAAAAAAAAGATTCCTGCACATGCCATGCACCACACGGATATCACCATATGGGTGCAAGTGTGGTGGTTGTCAGTCGCAGTCGCTTCAATCACCTAGTGGAGCAGGACAGGAAGGCTTGCGCTTAATTCCTTCTCCACTTATTTTCACTGATACTCTAAGTATGCAAGTTTGTTGTCCTTGTTTTAATGTAAGAGCCGCTCAATGCATTTCTGATCACTTCATTAATCGTTTACTTCCACAGCAGGGTGCCAGGACAGGGATCGGGCACTGGCCTCAGAACAGTAGCTTCCACGACTAGTCAGGCGGTGCACCCGCCCGCAGTGGCCTACAGCCAGCTCGCCGCCCAGTCCGCGGCAGCCAGGTGACGGCTATCAGAGACTGACATAACAGAAAGGAGGGTGCACACCGGTCGAGCCCGACACTCAGCACATTTTGCAGTCTTGGCTTTCACACCCAGTCCCACCGGACGCCGCACTCACCTTTCGTGTGCAGTGCTCACACTTCATCTGGAGCAGGACTGGCGGGAGGCCGACGCACCCCAGCTGAGTGAAATAAGGAAGACTGGAACACCGCCGCCTGCCACTGGCTAGCGACCCGCGACCCTTTGTTGTCTTCATCGGCGGTGGCCCCGCCCCCAGAACTGTGGTAGACCAATGAGAGAGTCGAAACAAGATGAGCCCCACCCCTGGGCCAATGTGAAGAGTACGAGGGCGACATCCTCCTAGGCCAATGAGAGTGCCTGGAAGTGGCAAGCCCCTCCCTAAAGCCAATCAGAAAATGGGGGAGGAGCTTGTCCTTCGGGGGAAAGTTGACGGGCCGAATCATAATCTCCAGTTATTTTTTTCTGGCGGTGAAAGCGGTAATGGTAGGTGTATGAGGCAGAAAGAATGCGCTGACCGAGTGGAGGAGGCGGTCCGCAGCGACTGCAGAGCGCCTTGCGCCGAGGCGCAGCCTGGCCAGCTCAGTGAAGTCAGTGTCCTAAACTCAGTTCTACTGCAGCTCCTCGAGGGCGGGGTAGGCGCCGCCCTCTGTCACCGCCATGACCATCCAGCAAAGTCTCACGTAGGCTGGTGCGGCAAAAGTGCACATGCGCAGTAGGCTTGCGTTGCTTTGTGAGTTTAGCTGAGTGTGGAGGGAAGACTAAAAGTAGGCTGACCTTGAAGTTTGACATGGTATTATACCATATATCACTTACAATTAAGAAAGTACTTATTTATTTTTTATTTTTTTTTTGGTTTTTCGAGACAGGGTTTCTCTGTGTAGCTTTGCGCCTTTCCTGGGACTCACTTGGTAGCCCAGGCTGGCCTCGAACTCACAGAGATCCGCCTGGCTCTGCCTCCCGAGTGCTGGGATTAAAGGCGTGCGCCACCACCGCCCAGTACTAAAATTTTGCTGGATATGGTGGCTCAAACTTTAATCCCAGCACTTGGGAGGCAGAGGCAGACCAATCTCTAGTCTACAGAGCGAGAGCAAAGTCAGGTAGGATAAGCAAGCATGTTAGCGAAGGTTTGTAATCCCAGTACTCAGGAGGTTGAGGCAAGAGAATGGTAAAATCAAAGTCAACCTATCCTACACTGCTACCTGTCTCAAAGGCAGCCCAAATGCCTCATTCTTTTGTTGTGGTGTTGGAATCCAGTGGGAAAGACCAAAGACTTAAACTCAATTCAAATTTAGATTAAATGAATTTATTCTTACTGCTACCAGAGGGATGGCAGCCTTAGAGCCAAAGAGCATGCCAGAAGGGGGCTAAAGGAAGGGTTTGTAAAGGTGGATATCAAAGGTGTACATTACAACTATCTAGGGAATCCACAGCTGGGCAAGAAAATTGTTTTACTCCCCTCATTCCGAAAGCAAAATGCAAGCAGTTCATCCCTCATAGCAGGAAAACACTATTATCTCCCCACCCCCACCCTTTTTTCCCCTCTAGCATCCATATGACTGGCAAGAAAAAAAAAATCCCTAGCTTCACTTCTGGGGATTGAGTACCCTCTTCTGGCCTCTGCTGGAGGCCACAGACGCACACATGCTGGCAAAACACTCATAAAACAAAAAGAAATACATTTATGAATTTAAGTGTTGCGCTAGCCGCCCGCGCTACCACCACCCATTCACCATGTCCGAGCGAGGGGCTGTGGATTCAAAAAACAGCTGTTAATTCACAGGGAGATAAAGGATCAGGGTTGCCCTTTAAGACATCATACAAAGGACAAAGTTGACCTGTTGGAATCTTTAAAGTGGACCAAAGCCACAAAGGTTTTGAAATCATTAAGCGTGCGTAGCTGATCCCTACGCAGAGTAATCTTTTGTGGATGTATGCCTGTGCGTAACAATTCATGACCTAAATAATGATAAGGAAAGGATACCTGTACCTTTTCTGGGGCTATCTGTAAATTAGACAGGCTAAGAACCTCTTGTAATTTAGAAAAGGCATCAAAAACAAGTTTGTTTTTTTTTTTTATCTTTAGCAGCCAATAAAATATCATCCATGTAGTGAATTATATAAACATCTGGAAAAGCTTTTCGAACTGGAGCTAGGGCCAAAGACACATAAATTTGACATATAGTAGGGCTATTGGCCATTCCTTGGGGCAGAACCGCCCACTGATATCTCTGATAAGGTTCTTTAAGATTTTCTGAAGGAACACTAAAAGCAAAGCAAGGACTGTCCTCAGGATGCAAAGGAATGGTGAAGAAACAATCCCTCAAGTCAATCACAATTAAATGCCAATGTTTAGGAATTGCCACAGGGGCAGGCAAGTCAGGCTGGCTGCTCCCATGAGAAGCATGGTTTTATTTACAGCTCTAAGATCCTGTAATAGCCTCTATTTTTCTGACTTCTTTTTAATAACAAATATAGGTGTGTTCCGAGGTGAAGTGGAAGGAATGATATGTCCAGCATCTAACTGTTCCTAAACTAAAGCGTTCGCAGCGTCCAATTTTTCTTTAGTAAGGGGCCACCATTCCACCCATACAGCGTCATCACTTTTCCAAGTGATTTTTATCGGTTGCATTATCGGAGGCTGCTGTTCATTGACCCCTATGGAAAAAATCCTAATCCTCTAGTATCCCCAGGACATCTAGTAACACAGCTTTTGTCTGCCACAGGGAGTGGATCTCCTTGCAACATTTTCCCTAAGCCTCTGCCCAGACAGTAACCCTGACTCTTCAGCATCTGTTGTACAGGCTGTGTAGTAAGCACTGCTCCCATACCTTCTAACACATTCCGTCCCCACAAGTTCACTGGAATGTCAGGTAGCACAAAGGGTTGGAAAGTTCCTGTGGCCTTCCTCATCCTTCCAATTTAAGAGTAGCCTGCTCTGTAATGGCATCTGAGCTGTGCTGATACCTTGTAGGTTAGAGGTGGAATTTTTAAGGGGCCATGCTTTGGGTCAATGTTTTATAGAGATAACTGAAGTGTCAGCACCAGTATCTAAAAGACCCTGAAAACTGTGATCATTAGTTTTTAAATTTAGCATGGGTCTTTGTTCTAAGGTGGAAACCCAGCAGGCTAGAGGGCCTGTAGAGCCAAATCCACCCTCACCTCTATGTGGTTTAAGAAAAGGATTATTAGTTTGAAAGCGACGCATCAAAAGCAATTGTGCTATGCAAGCACCCTGGGGAATAATTGTCACCCCCTTACCAGCCTCAACCATGATTCTAATTTCTCCTTCAGAGTCTTCATCTATCACTCCTGGAATTACTCTAATACCTTGCATAAGAGCATTACTCCTGCCCAGAATCAGACCTAAAGACCCTGCAGGTAGTGGGACCTTGACTCCAGTACTGAGAGCCCGGGGGCCCATCTGAGGTGTTAATACTGCTCTGGCAGAGGCGCAGAGGTCCAATCCTGAGCTTCCAGGGGTGCCTCTGATAAGGTCTTGGACAGAAAGGGATTCCTTCGAGGAATGAACTGGATGGCATGGTGGGAAACTGGAGTTGGGACAGGTGTATCCAGGGCTCCATACACCGTACTCCTCCAGAATATTTTCCCCTTATGGCTGAAGCCATTACCTGTCCCATGATGCGATGCCCATCTATATCTCTACATAGTTTAAGATAATCATGTAAGCTCTTATTTTTATGAGGCCTAATGGCCTCCTTGCAATATTTATTGGCATTTTCAAAGGCCAATTGCTTTACTATAGGCATGGCTTGATCAACATCCCCAAATACTCTCCCTGTTAATTGAAGCAGGCGATCTACAAATTCTGCAAATGGTTCTGATGGCCCCTGAATGACTTTACATAGTTGTTTACCAGCAGCTTTATTAGGCAGCCCTTTCCATGCTCTGGTAGCGGCTACGCTAATCTGTGCATAAACTGTGGGATCATACAAAATTTGTGCTTGTAAAGTGGCATACTGCCCTGTACCCATGAGCATCTCAAGATTACGAGCCGGGAAGCCTGCAGCAGCATTTCTATTAGCTGTAGTTTGACAATGCTCTTGAAACTCACTCCTCCAAATTAAATAATCCCCCCACCCCGCCAGAGAGAGCAGTGCAACACAACTGCATCCAATCGCTAGGGGTACAATTTAAGGCAGAAAAAGATTCAAGTATAGCTGTGGTAAAAGGAGCATGGGACCCATATGACATTACAGCTTCCTTAATCTGTTTAATGCTTTTAAAATCTAGGGGATCATGTTCCCTTTGCCTCTGACCTTGAGCATTTTGAGTCTCTATAACTGGGTAAGCAACTCCCCCCATTAACCCCTCTATGGGTGCGGAAGGACCTTCGTGTTGCAAAAGTCAGGGTTACAGGCTAGAGGTCTATCCTATTAAGAAATCTTCTGTGATTTCCCTCGTAAGCATCTCGTATCTTTTTCTAATCTGACTTCTACATCATCACCCTCTGAAGACGACTCTGCAGGGTCAGAAACATCAGAAGTTTGAAGGGATCTGAGAGCCTCCTCTATCTGAGACTCCTCCAACACAGCTTTAGCTTCGGTTAATTGTTCTTGAACTTTGACATTATCACTAAGTAACGCATCTTTAAACAAGTGCCACAAAGAAAAAGTAGCTAAGGGTATGGAATCAGGCCCTTCTTTATGCAAATATTTTTGTAAGTCAACCTTGACCTGTTCCCAATCTGGCATATTAAATCCCCCAGAGACCAGAAACCAAAGACTAACGTTCTGGAGGATTTGAACAAAATCTTTAGCCGTCTTGCTCTTAACTACAGTGCCTTGCTGCCTCAGCAGTCAAATTAACTGTTCCTCGAGGAGCGACTGTGAGCTAGCTGCACCCATTTCAATTCAATTCACCCTTACCTTCTCTTTTCTTTAAAATGCTGGCCAGCCTTACTTTCAGGTGTCCATCAGTGACATCCCTTATTTCTTGGATCTCGGTGGGACCTCCATTTGCTGCAGTAGCACCCACGCTACCACCACCCGTTCATCATGTCCGAGCGAGGGGCTGTGGATCAAAAAACAGAGACAAAAGACAGCGGGTCATTCGCTTCAGCAGAATGCTGAATGCTGTTTATTGAAGGAGGGAGGAAACCTTAAATACAGGCTTACAGCACAATGGAGGAACCCCGGAGGGCAGAAGTTTGCTATGGAATGTTCTACATTCTTGCATCTAAACTGTTTACACCAAATGCAGGATACACGAACAAAGAACCTCCAGTGAGCATTCAGGAAGAAGGAAACCAGCAGGGAATCAGCATAGGGAAGACATCTGGTCAAGGTCAGCAAGCAAGGCAACAGCTACCCAAAATGGGGGGCCAGGGCCCTACATTTAAGGTCCAGTGAAATGGTTAGCAGGTCAAGGCACTTGTCAACAACCTAATAATTTGAGTTCCATCTCCAGCCTACCTCTGCTGCCAAAGCAGTTATGTCATCACCTGTCGCCAGGTGCCTTTCCACTGCACTTGTCTCTTATCTCTCTTGCCTCTCTCATGTCCCCACTCCGACACGGACTTTTGCTTTCCCTCTCACCCAATAAACCTCTTGCACTAACTCTGTTGCATGTGGTGCTTAGGCATACCTTGGCAGGGCCCATCAAAAGGTACCCACTTCACCTTTTTTATCGTTACACCCAGAACTCACATAGTGAAATGGTGAAAGGAGAGAACTCCTGCAAGTTGTCCTCTCCACTTACCACTATGAATACATACAAACATACAACACAGTAAATAAAAAATTAAATATCATTGTAGATTTAAGTACCTGATTTTTAGTTCACTAAAATTATTCTTAGTGATGTATGGGTATGGGCAGTAACCCAAGAAGCTTGAGATTCCATCTCCAGAACCAAAACCTGTTCTGCTTCAAAGGCTATTTTTTTGTTGTTAGTCTCTTCCTCTCTTCTGTATCTTTGGTAGTTTTTCCGTGTGTGTGTGTGTGTGTGTGTGTGTGTGTGTGTGTGTGTGTGTGTGTGTGTGTGTATGCATAGATGCACATGGGTAAGAGTTAGTTCTCTTCTACCATCTTGGTTCCAAGAATCAAGCTCAGATCAACTTCAGCAGCTTAACCATTTCACTGATCCTCTTGATTAACTGCAGGCTTAGGTATGCCTAGGAAAGGGAATTCCCTAAAGATGTCTTCACCCCCAGAAAGCAGGAAGTAATTTTAAGAACACAATGACCACATTCCCAAGAGGTGGGGTGGGTGTGTTTTGGTCGTTTAATGAGTTATGGATATTGTCATTGCTTACAATGGTTGGTTACAAGTTGTTAATTGTTAATAGTAAAAAAAAAAAGCTAAACAAAGGAGAGCAGATACAGCATTCTTGTTTAAAAAAAAGAAAAAAGAAGATATAGAAAAGGGTAGATCATTGAATCTACTCTGAAAAAAAGGAAGATATAGAAATGATAAGATAAAAGGTAGATCTTTGCCGGGCGGTGGTGGCGCACACCTTTAATCCCAGCACTTGGGAGGCAGAGCCAGGCGGATCTCTGTGAGTTCAAGGCCAGCCTGGGCTACCAAGTGAGTTCCAGGAGAGGCGCAAAGCTACACAGAGAAACCCTGTCTCGAAAAACCAAAAAAAAAAAAAAAAAAAAAAAAAAAGGTAGATCTTTGGGGGTCCACTCAGAAAAGAAAAAAAAGAATATGTATATGATAAGATAAAAAGGGAGATTATTGAATCTACTTTTAAAAAGGAACTAATTCTTTTAAAGAAGATAAGCAATGAATTTATTTTATTTTATTTTATTTATGTATATACTATCCTGTCTGCATGTGTCCTTGAAGGCCAGAAGAGGGCACCAGATCTCGTTACGGATGGTTGTGAGCCACCATGTGGTTGCTGGGAATTGAACTCAGGACCTCCAGAAGAGCAGTCAGAGCTTTTAACCACTGAGCCATCTCTCCGAGCAATGAATTTTTTTGTCTGGATTTGTCAAATGTTAATGGACTGGACATTGTTAATGCATATAATGGAGTTTTTTGTCTGAATCTGTCAAATGTTAATGGACTAGACATTGTTAATATAATTCTTGACTGTATATATTGTGTGTACCTATTGGATGTAGTATTTTTTTTTTAATTTTAGACAAAAACGGGGGAATGTGGTGATATTGTGTTCCCCAATATATATATTTTTTAAAGATGTATTTATTTATTATGTATACAGAAGAGGGTACCAGATCTCATTACAGATGGTTGTGAGCCACCATGTGGTTGCTGGGAATTGAACTCAGGACCTCTGGAAGAGCAGTCAGTGCTCTTAACCTATGAGCCATCTCTCCAGCCCCTCCCCAATATACTGTGAACACTAATAAACTTATCTGGGGTCAGAGAACAGAACAGTCACTAGATATAGAGGACAGAAAATGGTGGCACTCACGCCTTTAATCCTAGCATTCCAAAGGCAGAGATCCGTCTGACTCTCTGTGAGTTCAAAGCCACACTGGAAACAGCCAGGCATGGTGACACACGCCTTTAATCCCAGGAAGTGATGGCAAGAAGCAGAAAGGTATATAAGGTGTGAGAACCAGGAACTAAAGTCTGGTTGAGCTTTTAGGCTTTTCAGCAGCAGTTCAGCTGAGATACATTCTAATGAAGACTCTGAGGCTCCCAGTTTGAGGAAACAGGATCAGCTGAGGAATTGGTGAGGTGAGGTGGCTGTGGCTTGTTCTTCTTCTCTGATCTTCCAGTGTTCACCCCAATACCCTGGCTTCAGGTTTGATTTTATTAATAAGACCTTTTAAGATTTGTGCGACAATTTATATTGTCCTATGTTGTCATTATAGCTCTGCAAGTGGCTAATTACAAACAAATTTTACATAGCCAGCATCAATTGTTCAGTTTCATTAAGCATAGAGGCTGGATAAACAATAAAACTACATACACTGAACCAATACCATGGTCAGCTTGTTTTCTATCTACTCTCCAGATTTCCAGCCACACTCAGAAGGCAACTAGAGTTTCTGCATGCAAATGCTCTATTACTAAACTCTATACCACAGAACAATTTTAGCTTACTTCATAAGTACTTTAAATGTTACAGCTCTAAAGGGAAAGCTTTGAAGGGACACTAGCCCACTGGAGCATGTGATTCTGGCAGGCCTTGGTTTGTAGTTGGAAGGTTTCTCTGGTCTACTCCGGCCCAGCCTAGCCCGGCCCAGCCCGGCCGTGGTCCTGCAGCCGCTTATAAAATAATCACTCAGAGGCTTAATATTATTTACAAACTGTATGGCCTATGTCAGGCTTCTTGCTAGCTAGCTCTTATAACTTAACCCATTTCTATTTATCTATTTAAGTTGTCATATGGCCGTGGCATTACTGGTACTTTCACATCTTGCTTCTCCCAGCAGTGCTAGTGTCTCTCTAGACTCTGCCTTTCTCTTTCCTGTCTCCCTCCTTGGATTTCCTGCCTGCCTTTAAGCTGCCCAAAGCAGCTTATTTATTAACCTATGGGAACAACATATATTCATAGTGTACAGAAAGACATCCCCCAGCATTGTCCTTCTTCCCCATTCCCTCTGCCTTGCTAAAAAAAATCATTGGATTACATTCCTAAAGCTAGCCACCAAGATCTAGTACCTTAATTAACCACTTCCTCCTCATGAGGCTGACTACCAAAGTCCAGCAATCAAAAGCCCCTTTTGGCTCACCTAATTAACATGCTCAATTAAAATTAAACACCTCATCCTAACACGGGGTTTCCCCCTTTACCTTTATAAACCACCATTTGCCTATGGGTCACATCTGTCTACTCTCTATCCAGAGGCAAATACCCCTACTCCTTTTCCCTATTTCTTTCCCCTTCTCACCTATCTCCTTTATCACAGCATCCTAGCCCATTCTAACACAGACCTCCCCTTTTTATCCTCTTAAAAATTACACCTGCAAGGTCATTTGCTGCTGTTTTCTGCCTGAGTCAGAAAGCAGCCACTTAGACTTTTCTTCCTCACTTAATAAAGGACCTCTCTGTGAAAACAGGTGTTTGGGAGTGGTTTGTGCCTAATTCACGGGTCTAGGAGGAAGCCCCCACTGTTGGGGGGGGGGTGGTCTCCTTCAGTCTTCCCCAGTGGAAGTGCTACAGCTCTACTCTGAGGGGATCCCCAGTGCCCATGTTACAGCTTGAAAGGCTTCCCCAGTGGAGGTGCTGCAGCTCTGAGGGGGAAGGTTCCCCAACAGAAGTGTTACAGCTCTGAGGAAAGAAAGAGGTTGCCCTATGAAGTGCTGCAGCTCTGAAGGGAAAAGCATCCTGGCAGTTGCAAGCCAAGGAATACCACAAAGTCACCACAAACCTCACACAAGAGATTTATTGGAAGAAACACAAGAGGGATATTGTCCCTGCTCAGGTGAGAAGCAGCAGGGAACCGAGCAGGAGACTGGCTTCTATAGGGTTTCTTGAGGGAGGAGATTTCCAAAGTGAGGATTGATGGGATTTAAAGCCAAGCCCAGGGATAGGTGGAATGTCTAGCTAAGGGATTGATGGGCTTTCCTGCTCAGGAATTGGTGGGGTTTGGCAGTTTTTCAAACCTAGAAGTGGGCTCAGATCTTTTACCCTACAGGTACAGGCAGAGGTGTCACCTACAGCAAACCTACTAGGAGAAATAATGTATTACTAGTCTGTGTGACCTCCAAAGTTAGTGACTTAAAAAATTAACCAAAAGCAACTGGGTGCGGTGGTACACGCCTCTAATACCAGCACTTGAGAGGAAGAGGCAGGAGGATCTCTGTGAATTTTGTTTTATGTGTATGAGTATTTTGCCTACATGTATGTATGCAGGCCAGGTCACATGCTTTCCTGGTACCTGGGGACATCATAAGAGGGTTGAGAGTTGTCATACAAGTGCTGGAAACCAAACCAGGTCCTCTGCAAAAGCAACAAATGTTCTTAACAACTGAGCCCACTCTCCCCAACCCTAGTTTGTGTGTGTGTGTGTGTGTGTGTGTGTGTGTGTGTATGTGTGTGTGTGTGTGTGTGTGTGTGTGTGTATTTCCAGCTGGCCTAGAATTCTGGGTTCTAATACCTCTGCCTCTCGAGTGGTGTGCTGGAATTAAAGGGGTGTGCCATCACCAACAGGCCAAAGCTGGATTTTAAAAGGAGACAAAGCAGAAAGAATTTATCGACTGATAGGTACTGAGGAGGATTGAATGCAGGTCATTGTGCATTTTACCATTGAGCTACACCTCCAGTTCTCTTTTTACTTATTTTGAGAGAGGTCTCATTAGATTGTCCATACTGGCCTTGAACTCACTCTATATCCCAAGTTGGCTTAGAATTTGTGGAGCAATTCTCTTCAGCCTTCCAATACTGAAGCCTATATCAAAATATCTTTCTCTCTCTCTCTCTCTCTCTCTCTCTCTCTCTCTCTCACACACACACACACACACACACACACACACACACACACACACACACACACATATATGTATATATATTGACAAAACTTCTAGGGTTTTGCATCACATAACAAACAAATTTAAAGAGAACAGTAAAGTAATAGAAATCTCAGCTCCAGCATGATGTTCTAGCACCCAAAGATCACTTTATGTGTGTTGGAGGCAACTACAAAACTAAAAGCTCCTGCTTTTAGTGCCACTGTAGTTATTGTGTGTTAGGTCTCCAAGAAACCAGGGACAAAATGCTAACTGAGGTGCCAATTAACATATCAAAGCAGACGCTGGCTAGGCTCTCAGTGAGCACCTGCCACAGAATCCCTCCTCCTCAGCATTTCTCATACCCTCCCATTACTCTAACCCTCTCCACCCACTGCACTTCCCTTCACTTCCCCTGGCTTCTCTTTCCCTGTAAACCCCAGCCATTTTGGCGACGCTCTCTGTGCTCTCTGCCATGTTGGTCTTCTTTTGTCTCCCTCTCTTCTCTTCCAGTCTCCCTCTGCTCCTCTCTCTTTCCTCTCATGGCTCAGTCTATTCTGCTGGCCCTGTTCAGTCTGGCCTCTTCTAGATGCCTCTGGTTGTGCTTTTCCTCATATCTATAATAAAAACCTCCTCAAACTCCATTTATTTTACATCTTTTGTTAGACTGACCCCAGGTAGTCCATGTTTCCCATGCTGTCCTAGTGTAATCTATCATTTCCTTAAAATTCCAGATCCAACCAGGTGGTGGTGGTCCATGCCTTTAGCCCCAGCACTCCAAAGGCAGAGGCAGAGGCAGAGGCAGGAGAATTTCTCTGAGTTCGAAGCCAGCCTGGTCTACAGAGGACTTCCAGAGCAGCCAGGGTCATACAGAGAAGCCCTGTCTCGATAAACAAACAAACAAACTGAAGGACGCAGGCAGAAGCATCCTGGCCTGACTAACTGCCATTTCCGCGTCAGACCCCATTTCACCCGTTGGGTGAAACAAAGTTCAGGTTCTCAAACCCTAGGGTACTGGGAACCTTCTAATAGCTGACCCACCTCCTCCCTAAAGCACAGAAATAGCCATTATGCATCTTTACTTCTCTAGAAACGTTATGGTTGTTCCTAACAACAGAAAGAACAAATGAATTTGATTGGTTAGACTGAAAAGTTGACAGTGATGGAACATTCAAGGAAGCTTCTAATCTAAATCCTGATTGGTGAAAATTATAACTGTAACTTGGCAACACATGCTTGTGATTTTGTGCTTAAATACTTGTTTCAATTGGCATTTGGGGTCGTGCTCCCGAGTCTATTCTGTGGCCCTGATCCATCAGTCCCCTCCCCTTCCCCCCTTCTTTTGTGCTTCTGTGGTGGTATTATGTTCCCCAAAATATTGTGCACCCTAATAAACTTATCTGGGGTCAGAGACAGAATAGCCACTAGATACAAAGGCTAGAAAATGGTGGCACTCACACCTTTAATCCTAGCACTCCAGAGGTAGAAATCCCTCTGGATCTCTGTGAGTTCAAGGCCACACTGGAAAGGCCAGGCATGGTGACACATGCCTTTAATCTGAGAAAGTGAGCCTTTAATCCCAGGGAATGATGGCAGAAAGCAAAAAGATATATAAGGTGTGAAGACCAGGAACTAGAATCATTTGGCTGGTTAAGCATTTGGCTGGTTAAGCTTTTAGGTTTTGAGCAGCACAGTTCAGCTGAGAGCCATTCGGATATGAGGACACAGAGGCTTCCAGTCTGAGGAAACAAGATCACCTGAGGAATTGGCAAGGTGAGGAAGCTGTGGCCTGTTCTGTCTCTCTGATTTTCCAGCGTTCACCGCAATACCTGGCTCCAGGTTTGATTTTATTAACAAGACTCTTTAATATTCCTGCATCATGCTTCCCTACTTTGAACCTTGCCTTGAGGTAATCTCTGTGTCTGCTTGGGTTGATTCGGAGCCTCGGACCACAACAAAATAATAAATTCCGATCCACTTTTCAGACTCCTAAACCACGTCCACATGCTGCACGGTAGGATACCGCCTTGAGTGATGCCATTCTTGGCAGGTCGGAGGTTAAATTCTGGTGCCCCATCGACCGTGCCTGCCCTCCAGTGCCAGGCCCCGCCCCAGTGAGGCACAACTCGGGAATGCGTAATCACTCAGTCTCCACCCCTGGGAAGTCCCTACCCTGTTCTTAGTCCGGAAGTCTGTGGGACAGAAGTCCGGAAGTTCGAGCGGCTGTTCCCTAGTTCGCTCCGGCTAATTCGGTACGCTTTCCTCTATCCCGGCGCAAGTGTGTGTCCCGAGGCTTTTCTGGTTCCGACCCGCTGTGCTTCCCGTTCTCATGTTCCTGCCTGTGCGGGTCATTGCTTGCAGACCTGGATCGGGCCCAGAGCAGATTGAGCAGACCGGGCGTGTACACTCCGGAGGAGCGAGCGGAACGGGCCGCTTGTGGAGCTTGTTGGTAACTGAGGCCAGAGGGAGGCAAATTGTGCACCTAACTAGGATTCTTGAGGATGTAGGTTACGAAGCTTGAATGCACCTGGGTATCCAAGGAGCCACTCAAAACTGGGGCTTTGGATGTTGTTTCCATGGGTCTTGCCGCAGTGTCCCATAATTCGGATGCATTTGGGCCATAGTTAGTATGACAGCAGAAACTCAAGACACAGTAGCACTTTCAGTTCCCTTTCTTGGTAGGAAGAGTTTTTGAAAGATTTGGTTAAGGTGCCGGAAGCCTGAGAGTTGCTGGGGGCTAACAGAACAACTTCAAGACGAGGGTTCGGTCACGGAAAGGGTTCCCAGATATGATGGTGGCTTGGAAGTGAGATCAGGCCTCACTTTCTGGGCTGTGTAGTCCCTGTGCCCATACATAATTGTAAGTTGAGACGGTCTCATGGAGAAAAGAGTTCAGAGTCGCCTGTCTAGACTGATGAGGCGCTCCCTGTGTGCAGTGGTTTCAGGCTTCAGCTGTGTGTCTTTCCCAGCCCGGTCTGCTGTGAAGTGAAGCCCAGGTTCCAGGGATGTACATGCAGGTGGAGACACGAACCAGCACCCGCCTCCATCTGAAGAGGGCTCCAGGCATCCGGTCTTGGTCTCTGCTGGTCGGTAAGGCTTCCCAATTTTGCCATCTTAAATCTTAAAAGTGATGCAAACAGTCTCTTTGTATTCTATTAGAGGTCCCTCAATACAAGAACTTGATAAAGCATGCTTTATTAATCTTAGTGTGCCTTTTCTTTCAGATGATATGCAGGGTCCTCTTGCATACTGGGCAAGCTCTCTTAACACTGATATGCATTCTCAGCTTATCTGCTTTCTTGAGGTCACTAGTGTTTCTTCCATGTGACAGGTAGTCACAGGTTCACATTTCTCCTCTTCCCTGTCTCCTTCCCCTTCATAAGTGCACTTAGCCTCCTGGACTTCTCCCCCATCACTGCCTATCAGAAGTCTCTTGCATCTCAGGGACAACTGCACTTGTGTTGGCTAGGCCTGTACAGAGTCTGAGGTGAGGCACTGGCTGTGACTTAGCAGCAGCGTCTCTGTAGTCTGTCCTTATGATTTGTGAAGGTCCTCATGACGTTCTGTATGTTATGCTCTGTGTTGTGTTATAATTCTCTATGTAGTCTGTCTTCATTCCTCATCACATGTAGGCAATACTTACATCTGGGTCATTTGCATTTTTCATTTAGTTGCAGACAAGTATGGTGAATGACATGGATAGCATATCCTGTTTTTTATTTAATTTATTTTTATTTTTTGTGTATGTGTATCTATGTATGGGTCTATGCAGGTGCATATAGGTGCCCATGGAGTCCAAAAGAGCATTAGCTCCCTAGAGCTGAAGTTACATGAGGTTTGAATGGCCTGACATGAGTACAGGAACCAAATGTTTGATGGACTTTTCTTTAGGCTGCCAGCTCATAAATAACGAAATGGAAACTTATTAATTATGAAAGTTTGGCCTTTAGCTTAGGCTTGTCTCCAACTTGCTTTTTTTTTTTTTTTTTTTTTTTTTTTTTGGTTTTTCAAGACAGGGTTTCTCTGTGTAGCTTTGCGCCTTTCCTGGAACTCACTTGGTAGTCCAGGCTGGCCTCGAACTCACAGAGATCCGCCTGGCTCTGCCTCCCGAGTGCTGGGATTAAAGGCGTGCGCCACCACCGCCCGGCTCCAACTTGCTTTTACAACTTAAGTTAACCTGCTTCTATTAATCTATGTTCTGCCACGTGGCTTTTTTACCTCTCGTCCATTCTGTATATCTGACTAGCACTGTTGCTGGCATCTGAGCACCTAGATTCATCCCGATTTCCTTTCACTGCCCAGAAGTCCTGCCTAGCTATTCTCTACTGCATAGCTATTGGATATTCAGCTCTTTATTAAATCAATCACAGTGACACACCCTCACATGGTGTGATAAAATATCCCATAACAGTGCTGAGAACTGAACTGGGGTCCTCTGCAAAAATAGTATATATTCTTAACTAATAAGCTATCTTTCCAGTCCCCTTGTCCCTTATTTTTAAACAAACTTCTTGGCTGTGTCACCAACCCTGCACTATGTAGCCTCTACCTGCTGCCCCTGAACATGTCCTGCCATGAGACAGGCCTGCTTGCTGAGGCTATAGCACTATGAACCAGTGCGACTCCCCTTGGCTACTTAACAAGATAATCCCTCTCTTTACAGGAATATTATCCACTGGCCTGGCTGCTGCCTATTACAGTGGAGGTAAAGTATGCTATCTCCTTCAATTTCCTTGTACTTGGAAATGAACAAAACAGTCACCTGTGAGCAGTCCTGGTGTGTGTAGCCTTTAGGGTGGCCTCTGCCTTGCCTTGTGAGAGATGACCACAGCCAATGTCTTGCATCTTAAATTTCTTCCTGTTATAAAATACTCTTGGAAAGAAGTTCTTTAGCATTTATTTGCTTGCTCCTTGCTATAGGAAGGAATCATGTGTCCCACCTTCCATGACAAGGCTATATAGATCTACCTATCTCCTAGGTGGACTTAGGCAGAGTTTGGGATGCACATGTCACCACTGACCCAGGCAGGTACAGAAGCACAGTTGACTACGCCTCTAACCCGAGCTGAAGGAAGGAAAGGCTGGGCTGGTGGGACCCTCATATGGACATATCACCTTGGCTTCTTTAGCTAATGGATATACTATGTCTGCTTGCAGATAGTCTGGGCTGGAAGCTCTTCTATGTCACAGGCTGCCTGTTTGTGGCTGTACAGAACTTGGAGGACTGGGAGGTAAGATGGTACAGTAGCACCCTTCCCATTTGGAAGCATCTGTCCCAGTCCAGAGGCACCGGTTACCTGGAGTCAGCCCTAGACTCTTCTAGAAGCTACTCATAGCTTTTCACCAGGTTCTGTGTTGTGTGTTGTTTTGCAGGCTTGCCTCAAACTCAAAAGTAAACTTACTGCTTCAGCATTCTGATAGGCATAAAGCACCACACTCAACTCACAGTTCTTTTTTTCCTGGGGTTGTACAAGTCTGCATTGTCCCTTGGCTGGACTGGCTGCATAGGGCAGGGGACCTGTGAGAACATTCTGCTAACTCACAGTTGGACCAGCTCCCAGGTCCTGAAGTTCAAGGGTTGGGGCTTCCTCTGACCAACTAGGACCTTACTGTAGGCCTAAAATAGTTGAAAGGAATCAGCAGAACCTGAGCCTGGGAAAAGTCAGCCTTTGGGGAAGTCCCCTACCCTTAGCTTTGGCCCTCTTAGAATCCTTGAAGCTGCCTGGCCCAGGCTTCTGCTTTTTGCTTACTGGCCTCATTGCCAACCTGTCCTTTTGTCCTTTCATTTACCCAGTACTGAGGGATGAACTTTAGGCCTCATACCTGCTGGGTAAGTGCTCTACCACTGAGTTAGATAGCCAGCCTGGTCTTGTTCTCATGCAAAGAGAAAAGGGAACCTATTCCATCTGCACTCTCTCCTGTGCTCCTTACCCACAGGAGTACAAGAGGTCAGACACAGAAGTTGGTTCTGGAAGAGAGCCCTGGAGTCTTTGGGGGTTGGTTTTCCACTGGGCATCTTGAGTATTTGTGCCAGTGTGAGTGGGGAGGATGATGTCTCAGCATAGCTTGGCCCTCTTCCTGGAGTTGTGTGGTTAACATACATTGGTTTGCAGGAAGCCATTTTCAACAAGAGCACTGGGAAGGTCATCTTAAAAACGTTCAGCCTCTACAAGAAGCTGCTGACTCTTCTCAGAGCAGGCCATGACCAAGGTAAGATGTGGGTAAAGGCTTGGGGAGGTCTGGATGGGTCACCTACTCAAGGAATGAGGGTCCCCCAGACATATCGTGGCTTGCAGGGTGGGATCCAGGCAGATATCTCATCCCAGGTCTCAGCCTATCAGGAAGGATGGAAGCTCATTAGCTCTCTGAGGTTGGGTGAGGGTAGTAGTATATCTGATTCCTATCAGCTGTGTTAGCCCTGCAGCGAGAGGATGGTCAGAGGAAGTCCCTAACCCTTGAACTTTTGGGCCTGTAAGCTAGGCTAACTGTGAAATAACAGAAGGTTCTCACAGGTCTCTTCTTTCTGTATTCAGCCCAGGCATTGTGCATTACAAACATGCAAGTAACTGCGTGTGCATCCCACAGGATCTTCAGTAGGCTTTTAACATAAGGAGTTAGGCCCCAAGGACTTCAGGCCTTTAACTTGTATGGAGTGCTGGCAGTATATATCCAAATGTGGCATTCAAATGTGGTAGTATACAGCCAATGAAGACCAGAGCAGGTTTGTGGGGATGTGCATTAGTGCACTGGCTGAACTACCCCAGGCTGCTTCTTGGGAGCCCTGACACACCTGAGAACCAGTCCCCACAGGCAGCAAGCCACCAGGTTAGCCCCGTGTCACTGGCAGTGGAATGATCTCATAGGTTTCCTAGTGGCTCTTGGGAAAGCAGTATCAGCCATGCATTAGTTAGCAATGGTTTTCCTGTGCAAGGAAATAGCAGGGCTACTCCACTGGAACCAGATAAGTTTTCCAGCCTTAGGTAAAATTAGGCAAAAAAGGTAGCTTGAAGATGGCAGCTTGAGCTTAGTGATCCCTGCTGTAAGACTGCTCAGGCCAGCCAGCTTCTTTCTGCCTAAAACTGCAGGAGTGATGAGTCTCCTGGGGGGTATTCTTATCCAGAAGTTATTCTGGAGCCACAGTCTAGAATGTGGAATAGCAAATATGTTTGTCACTAATGCCACTTCTACTGTTCAGCAGAGCTGGGCATCCTGAAACAGGCTGTCCTACAGCATAGGGTGAGAGCATAGGGATGACTGTTCATCTGCAAACCCTTCTGTCCCCAGTGGTGGTCCTGTTGAAAGACATCCAGGATGTGAATGTAGAGGAAGAAAAGGTCCGTTACTTTGGGAAGGGTTACACAGTGGTGCTCCGGTTTGCAACAGGCTTCTCCCATCCCCTTACTCAGACTGCAGTCATGGGCCGACGCAGGTAAGGGTGGTATAGAGCAAGACTGGGCTATCCTTTTGGGTTTCTCAGGGCAGCAGGGGAGAAGCTGAATGTCTGTAGATGGGAATATGGGGCTGCAGGAAGGATGGATGTATTTAGGAGTAGCTTTGCCATGGGTATCTGTAGGGGAGGCAACAGAACAAGGTTGAGGTCTGTTAAGAGTAGGACTGAGGCCAGAGATACTGGGCCCATTTGGGACCCCTGGGGTTCTTGTAGGTATATGGTAGGAGATGAGACAGTGTGGGTCTTTTGTGGTGTGTTACCTTTGCCATGGTGACCTGCTTTCTTGATGCTGGCCTAGTGATGTGGAAGCCATTGCCAAACTCATCACCAGCTTCTTGGACCTGCACCGCCTGGAGAGCCCCTCAGAACGGTCACAAAGCAGCGACAGTGAAGCTGATGGCCTGGGTGACCAGAGCTGACATTGTGGAATGACTGCTGGTAAATGTCACCCATTTCTGACATGTCTCCAACTGACTTGCCAATTATGAGGGTGCAGGCAGATCTTGGGCACCTGCCTATGGCTCCTTGGGTAGTTCTTGTGTGGACCACCTGCCTTTTGCTTGTTTATGCTTCTATGCTTTGCAGAACTATGGGCTGGATATCTTCCACAACCCAGATGCAGGAGGTTGGTGCTATCCAGAGGAGGACAGGATCTCAGAAATCAGTGCTTTCTCCAGTTAGACTGCAGCTCTGGCTTAGGCAGCAAAGCCTGGTTTGGATAAGCTCACCCAAGGGCATCTGAGGTATAAGATGTCAGTCTTTCTTCAGCATAGGCCTAGTACCTGTCTTCAAGAGGCCTTGCCACCCCAGGAAGACTCCACTTCATAGTGAGACACCCACATGCATGTAAGGAGGACCCACTCCTTCTGTGCATAGTGGTTTGGACTTGTTGCTATAAATCCTGATGTCTCCTCTCCTTGACCATCCCTTCTCAAGATAGACATTTTGGTGGTCAGGGGCTTCCCTGAAGGCAGCTCTGAATGCTGGATGCCTGGGTGCTGCCTGGCTGCAGAACTCTCAGAGAACTCAGAGTGCTGCTGACTGCCCTGTTCCTGCCTAGACCACTTGTCTGAGATCCCAGCAGTGTTGCAGCATAGCTATTAGGAAGGGAAGGCTCTCCTAACCCAATCTGGGAAGAAGCTGCTAGTGGAGGAAAGGCCACCTCTTCTGGCATCCTGTAGCCTTTAAGACCTGGGAGCTCCTTTACAGAAATTGAGTCTTAGCCTCTCAAGCCTTGAAAAGACCTGAAGAAGATAAGCATGTGATACACACCCCTATAAATCTCAGCCTTAAGAAGTGGGGCAGGAAGAAAGTTCAAGGCCAGTCTGGGCCACTGCCTCTTCTAACAGAAGTTGGTACCAGCCACTGATGGTTCTTTTCTGTTCTTCTAGTCTTCTACTGAGTGGACTCAAGTCTCTCAAAAGTACAGTGTCCACTAAGTTCCCAGCTTGGCTTCTAGGCCTGAAAGCTGTGGACCTCTGGTCTACACAGAGCCCCCCTCAAAAGTTGTGTACCCATGCCTGGCCAGGGAGAACTGGGAAATTGAGGAGTTATATAGACAAAGAAGTCAAGGCAGCCCTGAGGCCACTGTACTTGGGCTGAGCAGGAATAGTTAGGCCAGAACTCTTAACAGATTTTCTTTGAAGTGACTATTACCAGTTCTGACTTGGGGAACATGGTCCCTTGAACATGCCAAAGTGAGCTTTTTAAATGGTCAAGTTAGAGAATTTTTTTTCCACAAATGAAAAGTGTGAAATAATAGCTGTTGGCTTTTGGCTTGTTGCCTGTAGACTCTTAAGGTACTTTAGACAAGGGAAGAGGATTCTGTTTCTTGGGTGCTGTCATATCCCCTTCCTATGTTTCCCAGTGTTGGGACTCATTCCTCGGTAAAGGAATGAAGCCCTCTATGAGCCAGGGTGGTGGTAAAACGCTGATCCAAGTTTCTGTTAGTGGGACTTCTGCTTCTACTGTTTGTTTGTTTGATTTTTTATTTCATAATTAAAAAGCTCTACATGCAGATTGCAAATGAGTCTCCATGTGCCTTTTTCTGTTTTCAGCTTTGCCCAGGGTTACTCTTTACACAGTTTGGGAGCCTATCTGCACATGTGTCCAGGCCCCACATTGGCTGGGCACTGAGGCAGGAATCTTGGTGTTGTCCAGGCTGATAAACAGAGCCCCAGCCCTTTAGGGGTTGTGACCTGTGTCCCAGCCTGAGCTGGTGGGTGGTGGCAGTGGGGCAGCCTCCCCCAGGTCCTGCAGTAGACCCTGCAGTCGCTGCATACTTGGGAGCACATTCTCCTCTAGCCACTCCTCTATGGTGTCCGGGTAGAAAGCCAGCTGCAGGGCCACCTCCAACTGCTGCACAAGGTTGCTCCACCTGCTCAGAAGGCTGAGGGCAACAGCAGCCATGAGCTTGACTTGATGAGAATTCCTGTTAAGGCTCAAGTTTACATAGCTAAACTCATGTCCTCAGCCCCTAGAGTCAGTACTGTTCCATGCCTCAGTTTACTATTGGGACGAAATAAATGAATGACTGGTCACATTTTAACAATCAAAAACCACTATCTGGCATGAACAGGATATGCTGTTGGCAGCATGTTGCACTCAGTGCAAGTGTATTCTTATTAGCCCAGCTTAGAGTCCTGAACCAGGGGAGGACACAGGCTGCCTGGGGCTCCAGCAACAAGGGCACTCAGCTAGGTTGCACCAGGGAGTTAAAGGGCCAGCATGGACTCTAGGTAGCCTGATTCCAAAGATGAGCCTTGGGTCAGGCTGAACATGTGGTTGATGATCTGTCTCAGGCCAGGAAGCACTTAGCTGCTTGCTAATATTAGGAGCAGTGTTATTGAACAGTGGCCTATCGATCCAAGATCTACAGCTACAGTACCTGGAGAACTTGTCTTGCCTTAACACTGATAACCATAATCATTGCTATGGTGTGTGTTCATAAAGGGACAGGGTGTTTCAGAGGCTGAACACCTGGGAGGATGAGATGATGGTGGCTACCTGAGTGCCTCTGGCTGTATGTGCTGGATCATAACTGGGTGAATAAGCTTCCGCCTGCGATGGTAGGGGCTGAACCAGCCAGTGACATACCTGGAGCAAATCCAGACAATGTTAGTGGGCCAGTAGTGGCTAGGCGTTAACTGTGGAGGAAACTTAAGAATCTGATAGAAATTTTTAGAAGTCTTTCTAGAAAACTTTGTAAACAATGCCAGGAGAGATATGGGGTTGCTTACCTGTTCCTTTCCAGAAGTGTATCCACAGAGCTGCGCAGGTGAAGACTAATTTGTGTGACGAGGGCATGGATGTCACTGCCAGGGAAGGAACCAGCTCCCTCACTGCCAGAGAATCACACTGAGAACAGTGCTCCCCAGAAAAGGGAGGGGTGGGGGAATGTCAGGTAGGATGGGATTACCTCATAGTATCCATTATTTCCAGGCTTGAAACCCCAAGGAAGTGTTCCACTCTCAGCTTAACATCCTCAGCAAAGACTCCTGAAACCATCCACAGGCAGAAGTGGTCAGAGAGGCCTCCTGACCTTTGGGTGCTAATGGGCAAAAGGAACAGCATCTCAAGGGGAACCCCAGCCAGGCTAGCTGGCTGCTTTTTATTGAGCATGTGAAAGATATTTGTTAAAGATCAGGGAGTGGAAATAAGAATGGTATTGTAGGTAGCATCACTACATGGATGAGCCCTTGATCTCACTGCATAGTTCATGTGCATGTGTCCAGGCTCAATCATGGGCAGAGTACTCTACAGCACCTGGAACAAACTGCTGGGGTGTGTGAGACCAGGGCAGACACACTTCCAGGTCAGGACAAAAGGCTGTCACAGGAAGCCATTGACAGACGGTTCCTAGCTCTGTGTTGGGAGGTCTAGGTCCCAGTACAATCACTTCTCAAAAACAGGAAGAGCTAAAGCCAACACCACTAACACCAATGTCTCTTCAGTATTGGTGTGCTTCTTATTTCTTTGTCTTTCTGCACATTCTAGACAGTTTACAATGAACAACTGCCAGAAACAAACTAAAATAAGACCACCTCTACATCTTTCTACTCCACAGCTGTTAAATTTTTTGGGGGGCCCTTCTTTCCATGTGGACATCCTTTGAGCATTGTAAATTCCTATATAGTCTTATAGTTTAAATGGGCATGGTTTTTTTCACCAAGGCCCCACTGCCTACACATGCTCTGAGCAGTGCCCATGCCTCTCTTCTGCAGTCAGTTGTCCCTATAGGTCATTTGGTGTAGGAGCACTGGGATAAGGGGCTTCTGCAGCAGTGGAAGCATCTAGTTCTGCAGTCTGCCTCACAACTCTCAGGATACTTGGGCAGCAAAGAGAACCTGCATCTGCATCTGAGGCATTAATTTCTTATGTAGGGTCTCTGAATCTGTGGGGCATGTCCGTTCTAACTTCCCAATCTACCCGAGGCTCAGGCTGAGGATCTAGATATAGGCAATCCTGAGCCTGACAAGCAAGTGGACAAACTAGAAACATGAGTCTTCTTCCTCTGTAAAGGACTACAATCCAGACAGAGCAGGGCAATGATCAAGGGAAACCAGCACTTGGTCTCCTTTCTTCCTGTCTGGCTAGGGGTAGGTAGGAGACCTAAAATTGTTGGCTGGGACATACCATGTACAAGTAACTGTAGACAGGCAGCCAGGGATGGGATTCCCACGGGGAGCAGCTCACACAGCACAGAGAAGTGGTCATACCTATGTCCAGAAGAAGAGTATTCAGCTCCACAGCCCTCATTCATCTCAGCATGATGATGATGATGCCCTGATCTGGGGTATTCCAGTTTTGAGGGGTTCCTAAGCTGAGAACCACTGTGGGCAGCCTGATGTATCCCAGTACCTGACTCAGGGTTTTTAAAGTGGGTTCCATGTCATGGGACTTTGCATTAGATTTGTTATGATGCCCCTAGGGAGGAGCCTGTGTAGGGGAAACAGGCTCTAAGCACCTGGGTCCACTTCACAGTGTACACTCAAGGTGGAGTGTCTAGAGAGCCTTTATTATCCCTTTTCTAGTACTGGTCTGCTTCTTGGAGGCCTTTTCTGTGGCTTGCATACTATCTATCCACCTCATGCTTTCCCCTAAGGCCCCAGGAGGTCAACAGGTTAGAGTGGGCATCTGATCCCTCCAGTGCTGGGCAGAGTGCCTCCTGGCCTGGTCTCAGTTTCTTCAGCTGTAAGGGTATAGAGAGATGTTCCTGAGTGTGGCAGATGAAGGCTGATGGAAGAACCAGGGGCCAGTGATTACATCACCACCATCAGTTTTCCTTTACCTCTGTGAGTCACTAGTCACCATGCAAGGCATAGAAAAGGCTTTACTCTATGTGAGTCTTGGTTTAACCCACATCTCGATGTTCTCTACTGGAATGGCAAATGCTTAATAAGTCTTCATGAGCCATCTAGAATCATCTCTGAAGCCAACCAGTGGACATGTACTGAAGCCATGAGCAACTCCTGTAACCATACTAGACAACCTCACTTGGCTAAGAACCCTGCTCTGTAGTCACATTTTGGAACCTGTGAAGGCCCCAGAGGGATACCTTTCCAGCTCTTCCTAGTGGAGTTGCCAGCTTCAACTGGTCCAGCTCAAAGGTTGGAACCTCATGCTAGGACTTGGCCAGAACCAAAGACTGGGTTCATTCTATTTTTCAAAGGGTGTGACATCCTAAAAGAACCAGGACTAATCTTCATGCCCTGCTACACGAGACATATGGTATCACTCATGGACTATACGGACTACAGAGATTAGAGGGCTGCATGCTTGTGGTTCTGAGCACTCCAGTGTCTCCTCAGTAGAGTTAATGAGGCAGCCACAAAGGCATGAAGTGCATGATTTAGGCAAGGCTAACACTAGACAGGTTGCCATCATGGGTGATGGGAACTGTTCCCCACTCCCTACACCCAGCCTGAGAGCTTACCTCTGCCAGCCAGTCAGGATGATTCCTTGTAGAGTATCCACTGGACCACTGACTGCCACCTGTAGCCACTGCTCATGGTTTCTAATATGGTGCTCAACAGGGGGCAGGGCCTGATTAGCTCCTGTGGCCCCCTTGAAGGCACTGGCAGCCCACAGCCTCTGGAAGCCACATTCCTGGTACTTTCCCATGAGGAAAACTAGGCAAGGAAACAAGCAGATGAGCAGCTCTCACAGAGAAGCCCTGGATACACAGCCTAACCAGAGCAGCCGAGAGCCACAACTATCCTAGCAGAGAGGAAGACTTCCAACCATTCCCATATGGCCTATGGTTTATCACTCATAGGGATAAATACTTCAGGAAGAGCTGGAAAAAACCTGGGATGATCTGGAGCCAGCAGGGGATCCTATGCCAGGACAGGAGGCTTTGCATGGCCTCTCTGTTCCATGCTGGTCAGTCAAGCTAATGAGGTGCCTGTATTCCCAAGCTGAACAGTTCAGGTTACAGGGTCATGGAGGACTGGGAAACAATCATGCAGGCACATGCACCACGAGGAATGTAGCATGAGCAACCTGTACTGACTTTTGCTGTGGACATCCAGGTCAGCTCCATAGTCCCAGAGCACAGGCTCCACCAGTTGAGGCACCCCAGATGCTGTCAACAGAGCAAGGCAATGAGTTTGGGACCGACCACTCAGGTCACACCCTTGCTCCTTAGACACATTTGTTTTATATAAGGGTTTCACTTTGTTGCCCAGGCTGGCCTTGAACTCTAATCCTCCTGCCTCATCCTCCTAAGGACTGAGATTATAGTCATGTGCCACCACGTTTACCTCTGGCACATTCATTTAATGTTAAAGTGGGAACATAAACCATTTTCTCAAGTCTAATGGGTTTTAAGTATAGTTTGCAGCTATGCTAGGCTTTTAGCCATAAACACCAGAGCTACAAATGATATTTGTAGCTACCTGCCTTAGTGAGGAAGGACTCCTAAGCTCTTCTCCAAGCTGCTGGCTTTGCAGCCTCAGGGAACTGGAACACATCTTTAATAGGAACTGATTCTAATTCATAATGTAAAACATACACTAGTCTCACGGAGTATAGGTACAGGTGGCCCTGGATCTCTGCATTAAACTCAGGGTTCAGTGGAACTAGGTGATACGTTTAAGTGCTATCTCCCAGGCTGGGGAAGGTACTCTTCAGCTTTCATCTCTAAGCTTTGGGACAGTGTGAACTTTTGGCCTTGGCATCTGTAAGGCTGGCCACAGAGTGCACATGGGGCTAAAGCTATCAGAAGCACTGGACACTCCCATGGCCTCTCTGGGCCTGCCAGCAGCCACACCAATTTCTGGCCCACATTCCTGCAAGGCTGTACAGTGACTTGAAAGGAAGGATTAAACCCAACATTTTCACTGGAGCACACATTAAGCTTCTGGAACTTGAGGTCCTGGGCAGCCACATGTAAGCCCCCATCCATACAGGCCCTGCCAACCTTTTAGCTGTTCCTGGGGGATGTCTCGTAGCATGTCATCCCACACCAAGGGTCTTGTGCCAGGGTGCTGTGCCAGCACATGGCTGGCTACTGCCTGCATGTGGGACAAACACAATTTCGCGTGGCTGTTCTGTTCCTGCTGTAGCCACTGTTTTGAGGTTTCCCCCTCGCCCAAGTAGTAGACCTAGGAGGAAGAAACAGGATGGGATTGCATCTGTTGCCACCCTTATATCCAGGTTCACAACTGTCCTGAAGTACAGAGGAGACTAATTGAACCCAGGTCCTCTGGAAAAGCAGCCAGTGCTTGTAACCGCAGAGCCATCACTCCAGTCCCCCATCCTCTTCTTTTTGGAGGCAGGATTTCATATAGCCTAGGTTGGTTTGTAATTCCTTATGCTGTAAAGGTTGCTGAGTTACAAGCGTGTATCATCATACCTTATTTTCAGATTTCCTTATTTTGAGATACCACAGCCCAAGCTGACCTAGAACTCATTGTGTAGCCCAGGGTGGTCTCAAATTTGTGGCAATTCTTTTGCCCTAACCTCCAAGTGCTAGGATTACAAGTGTCACCCACCATGTCCAGCTCCTTTTAAAAATGGAAATCTCAGGGCTGAATGCCTACAAACCCAGGCAGTGGCCTTTATCTCAGACTCTCCAGTCCTGTCCCACACATCTGGAATCTAGCCAGATAAGCAGAGGGGTAGAGGCTAGCCACTGGGTAGGCTAGGTAGGAGGACATACCACAGACACCCCAGGGGAACACTTTTCCCAAATAGTGCTTCAAGATCCAAACATAACACTTTCTTCCTCTCAACACCTCAAATGCATTTCTTTGGCTAGAACAGTCTGAAAGGGCATGAATTTGCTCATGGCTGGGACTGGCTCTGTCCCTGCAGGAGGAGGAATAGGTAAAGATACCTATCCCTCTGGATGGCAGTAACATCTGGTATACAGGGTACATTACCTGGGCTCTGCAGGGCTGCCCTATGCCAGGTGACACTCCTCTCCAGAGATGTCATCTAGAATAGTTCCATAAATAGGACTATCTCCTTGGTAATCCCTGACTTTATTCTTTAGTATTTGGACTATTTCTCTATTCAAAAGAATCCATAGGGTCTGGCATGGTGGTACATGCCTATAATTCTAGTGTTTGGCAGGTTGAGGCAGAAGAATCAAAAGATCAAACCAGCCTGGATAATGTAATGAAACTGAATCTCAAAAAATTTTTAATTAAATTAAACCAAATCAAACCAAACCAAAAGAAAACACAGAGGGGGCTGGAGAGATTATACTGGAAACTCTTGCAGAGGATCCAGCTTTGATTCCCAGCATCCACAAGGTAGCTCACAACCATCTGTAATTCTAGTCCCAGGTGATACTGACACCCTCTTCTGGCCCCTGTGGGCACCAGGCACACACATAGTACACAGACATACATGCAGGCAAAATATCCATACACATAAAATAAATAAGTAAATAAATAAATACAAAAAAGAGAGAGAGAGAGAGAAAGAAAGAAACCTTGACATGGGACTGGGTGGCTTCGAAAAGAAGAGGCTGCAGACCTTGAGATCAAAGGTACTCACCTCATCACAGCCAATGTGGAGCCACCGGACACCCCTATGTAGCTCAAGAATCTGGTCAATCATATCTTTTACCAATGCCAGAGACTCAGCCTCATGAGGGTTCAGGGTGTTGGGGAAGAGAGCCACTTCACGGAGATGTGCAAATGCTTCATGCTTTAGCACAAACTATGGAGAGACAAGGACAGAAGGAAGCTGGTGCTCAAGGACCCTGGTCCCCTGCGTGTCCTTGACAAGAGTTCCAAGCTTATGTTGCTTAACTGGACAGTGTGCCTGAGGGCCAGCTGGATGGCCTGCAAAGATTACTCCTGTCTCTTCCAGATGTCTGCAGGTGAGATAAGCTTCAGAGCCCACAGGGCAGTAGCTTCTGACTCTACCTGAGCTGGGTCTAAACCCTCTAGCTGGTTCCTCAGCAGCCTTCTTCCCTTCTCCCTTCCCTGTTTCCTTCTCCTCCTTCCTTCCTTTCTTCCTCCTCCTCTCTCTCTTCTCTCTCTCTCTCTCTCTCTCTTTCTCTCTCTGGTGTTGAGACTTTAATTCAAGGCCTTGCACGAGCTAAGTAATTTATTTTCCACTGTGCTGTATCTCTAGCTTCTTCTTTTGACTTATATGGTTTTTGCTTGTTAGGGTTGGGATCTGTGTACCACATGTGTTTAGTGCCCATGAGGCCAGAAAGAGGTCATAGATTCCATGGAGCTGGAGTTACAGGTGGTTTTGAGCTGTGTCATGGGTGCTGGGAATCAAATTTGGGTTCTCTGGAAGAGCAGCCAGTGCTCTTAACAGTTCCAGCCCCTCCAGTCCAGCCCCTCCAGTCCTTTTTTTTTAAATTTTATTTTAGGGGAGTGAATGCAGCTGCATCCTACAAGACATTAAATCAACATCATGTTTGCTTCTCAGTTGTCTTACATGAGAAATAATTTTGAATACTGGTAAAAAGACATAAGCAGAAAATGGAAGGCATCCTTCCTTCCTGGCGCAGCTGTCCTGACCAAAAGTAGTGCTCTCTGGCTGCTTACAGGTCAGTGCTTCTGAGAATGGGGTTCAGGCAGCACTGCTGCCTATGCCCTGTCAGGCCCTGTTGCCTCACACTGGAGCCCAAGCCCAGTCTCTGAACCCCACACCCATACCAGTAATTTTCATTCCTCTCACTCACCTCCATGTGACCGAATGTCTGCACCAAGGGAACAACCTCCAGCTCACTGAGTCTGGCCAGGTGCAGGATCTCTGTAACTTCAGAGGGGCTGGAGTGATAAGAGCACACAGGGGCTTGTGTCAGTCCAGCCTAGTCCTTTCTTACCCCTTTGCATCTTATATGAGCTGGTCATAGAATCATCCTGCACAACAGGGGTTAGCAGATTGGCCCAAGAGCAAAATTTATCGCTCAGCCGCTTTTGTACAGCCCTTAACCTAAGAAAGGGTCCCTTCACCCCTGTCCCCCTCTTTTTTTTTTTAACTTTGAAAGACAAACAGATATTCACTGTTTGGAAAGCAGCAGCGCACAGAGAGCAGGCAAATCTACAGCAGGTACAGATACACTGGAGAAATGTGATGCCCAGAGCCATACTGCCCTCCAGTATGGTGGTCACTTCATACTCCACCAGCAGGAGGCTTCGCTTCCTCTCCCCACCACCACAGAATGCTGCCTTTAGTCTGTTTAGGATTTTTTGAAACAGGATGGCAGCCCATACTCCTGCCTGAGCCATCCAAGACTAGTATTATAGGAAATTATCACTACACCTAACTAAAGAATCAGCAATGACCACATACTCCCCCGACCTTCTGCTTGGGATCAAACCAATACCTTGTGTATGCTAGGCAAGCACTTGACCACTGGGCTACAACCCCAGCTTTACCAATTCAGTAGCTAAAATGACACTGCAAAGTTGTTTTAATCTTGATTTCTATGAGAGGCTTAGTATTTTCCCACTTGCTTATGCATTCCAAGTTTAAAATCGAACTGTGAGAAGCTGGGGAGATCATTCAGTGGTGGAAATGCCTGTCGCATAAGCAAGAGAATTAGAGTTCAGATTCCCAGACCCCAGGTAAATGCTGGGTAAGCGTAGTGGCCCATCTGTAATTCCAGTGCTCAGAAGGCACAGACAGGGGGTCCCAGAGCAAGCTGGCTTCCCAGACTAGCCAAAATGGTGTATTCTGGACTCAACCAAAGATGCTGCTTCAATAAAGAAAGTAGAGAGTGATAAAGACTTGGGATGCCAACTTCAGGCCTCCACATGTACTTGCACATATGCACCCACACACATGGTGAATGCAAACGCACATGCACACGCACACGCACATACACGAGAAAAAAATATCCAATTGTGGCCTTAAATGAAGCCCAGTCCCAGCTGCCTCATGACTTCTTATTCTTCCCTGCAGGGTCAGAGTAGGTGTTTATTTTCTCTTTTAAATGTTTCCTAATTACCTTGAATGTACATGTTTTACTTAAAAAATTTCTGCATGTGTGTGTATGCTAAGTGTATGTATGTACACCATGTGCTTGCAGGAACCTGAGGTTAGAAGAGAGCACTGGATCCCCTGGAGTTACAAGTGGTTGTAAGCCACTATATGAGTACTGGGAACCAAACCCAGATCTTCTGTAAAAACAGTAAGTGCTTCTAAACACAAACACATCTCTCCAACCTCTATGTGTTTTACTTAAATAAAAAAAATTTTTTTTTTGGTCTGAGTATTTTGCCTGCATTTGTCTGTATACTACCTTTTTTCTTTGTGTTTTTTTTTGTTTGTTTGTTTGTTTGTTTGTTTCTCTGTGTAATAGCCCTGGCTCTCCTGGAACTTGATTGTAGACTGGGCTGGTCATGAACACAAAGGGCTCCACCTGCCTCTGCCTCCAAGTGCTGGGATTAAACGTATGTGTCACCACACCCACCTTGTATAACACTACCACTCTTTTTAATGTGTGAGAAGGTCAGAAGAGGGTACTGGACACCCTGGAACTAGAGTTGTAGGTAACTGTAAACTACCATGTGGAGGCTGGGTACTGAACCTAGGTCCTCTGGAAGAGCATTCAATGCTCTTAACACATGAGCTATCTCTCCAGCCCCAATGTTTTATGTTTATAAAGTGTTTGGGTTGGTTTGTTTGTTTTTTTATACAGAGTTTCTCTATGTAGCCCTGGCTGTCCTGGAATTCATTCTGTAGTTCAGGCTGGCTTCCAACTCAGAGATCCGCCTGCCTCTGCCTTCCAAGAGCTGGGATGAAAGGCTACGCCACCACCGGCCTGCCAGTTTTGTTTTTGAGATGGGATTTCACTCTTTAGCCCAAAGTGACCTTTAACTTTCAACAATCATGCTGTCTCAGCCTCCCAAACTGTGGGATTACAGGTGTGAGCCACCACACCAGGGTACACTGTTTTAATTTTGTAACCAATTTATATAAATAACCACATACACTTAGAAAGACAGAAAAGGAATGCAAGATGTTAGATTTCAATTATCCCACCCATAGTTCTGCATATGCCTTCCTTCTTGGAGGCCCTCGCCATCCACTTGGCATCCTCTGTTAGCTTTGATACCTGTATGCATGCTTGGCCCTCAGCAGCCTCAGGCGGCCCTCATAGGGAAACATGTCTTCATACTCAATGAGGAGGCCATTTGCACCAAGTGCATGGAACAGGGGAAAAACCTGGAGGGAAACAGGGTGTTGAAAAAAGTGGCAATCTGAATAACGAAGGACTTAGATAAAGTGTGTACCTTTTTCCTTACTAGGTTTTGGAGAGGGATCGGAACTGATACTCATATTTCTCTTACAAACTTTCAATCTGGAATGTGTATTTGATATTTGCTGAACAAATTCTTAGTCAATAACATACCTATTTAGCACAGGAATGTAATGTGCCATGAAATAGCTGTTACCAAAGAACAATGAATTTTGGTGGGTCAGCTGAGGGAGGACTATGCCATCTGGGAGAGTCATCCTGGAGCCAGGCCAGAATGGTCTAATGCACAAGAACCTGTGTGTCATAGCAGCAGGGAGCACCAGGTTCAGCTCTGGAGATGAGTTCAACTTCTCGGAAGGAAAAGCAGGTGGGGTGTGTGTGTGTGTGTGTGTGTGTGTGTGTGTGTGCAGAGGTAGGGTTCAAAGTCTCAAAGCTTGTCCTCTCATTCTCTCACCCCTTCCTTCCCTATCTTTATGTTAAGGGTAGGAATCTCCTTATCTTCAGGAGTTTTAGAACCTGTTCATGCCTACTATACAGAATAATCAATTATATATTTCCCCCCCTGGTCTGAGATCAAGGACAGGGATTTAAAAATAAAACAACACACACAGTCGGCACTAATAAGGAAGCCTCTATCTATATTTAAAACAGCCATCAATCTCCAAATAAGGATTCAAATGTTTCTGTGACTTGTAACATGTTTTCTTTCTTAAAGTACAGGAAAGTTCTGAAGCATGCTCAATCAAAGAAATCAGATCAGGACTGAAAATCAGCAGTAGATGATTCACAAAATGGATATTAAGTGAGTGTGAATTACAGAGGCAGTCTGACCATTGAGAGAGGTAAGCTAACTCCATTATCCACACTGAGATAAAGTCAAGGATGGTGATGGTATCTAATTTCTCCAGTGTTAGCTTCCCATGGCCTCTTGATATCTGTGTAGACCAACTGGGCACCTCTGTTTTATGGGCTGGGAAAGACCACTTGTTATACAGATGTTTGAGAGGTTGAGACTAGGGAGGCCAGGCCCTCAAGACACATGAGCCTCTGGGCTTTCATGTATTAGATGGTAGCAGAGGTTTTCATTGTTAAGCTGTATAAACATATATCATAAGCTAATGTTTACTTTTCTCTTTGTTTGGAATACTTTGTTGTTGTTGTTGTTGTTTCAAGACAGGGTTTCTCTGTGTAACAGCTCTGGCTGTCCTGGAACTTACTTTGTAGACTAGACTGACCTCACACTCACAGAGATCTACCTGCCTCTGACTCCTGAGTGCTGGGATTAAAGGCATGTACCACCACTGCCCGGCTGTCTGGAATACTTTAAAGCAAATCCCAGACATTCTTTCACTTGTAAATACTTCAATTTATATTTCAAACTATTTGTTAAGGACTTAAAAGACAATAACCATAACCCTTATCCCACCAAATCAGTTATTAATAATCCCTTAATACTCTCATTCCCAAATTTTCCTGTTTCAAAAAGCTGTGGCTTGGGTCAGATGTATACATTTTTAAAAATTTTGTTTATTTATTTAATGTGAATTGGTGTTTTGCTTACATGCATGTCTGTGTGAGGGTGTCAGATCTTCTGGAACTGGAGTTATAGATAGTTGTGAATTGCCATGCAGGTGCTGGGAACTGAACCTGGGTCCTCTGAAGAGCAGCCAGAGCTCTTAACTGCTGAGCCATCTCTCCAGCCTCCAGATTTATACATTTTTACGTAGATTTTCTGTTTGTTTCTGTGTATGTGTTAATATACGTTTATGTGCGAGAAGGCCAGAGATCTACCTCATAAGGGCTGAGATTATAGGTATAAGCCATAACCTATAATTTTTTTTAACATTTATTTATGGGGTGGGGGAGCCACAGTGCCTATGTGAAGATCAGAGATTTGGCAAGTGGTTCTCTTCTTCCTTTATAAAGGATCCAGGGATCAAACTCATGTCATCAGGCTGGTAGGAAGTACCTTTATCCAATGACCCATCATCTCACTAGCCCCTTGAGATTTTTGGTTTTTTGAGATAGGGTTTCTCTGTGAAACAGTCTTGGCTGTCCTGGAACTATAAGAGATCTGTGTGCCTCTGCCTCTCGAGTGCTGGGATTAAAGGCATGCACCACTACCCGGCCCTTGAGCAGATTTTTAAAGCAGTAGTGTCTCATTATGTAACTCTGGCTGGCCTGGTACTCGCAGAGATCTGTCTTTGCTCCCTGGCTATACAATGTCTTTTGAGACAGGGTAACAAACTGCGCTCTAGGCTGGCCTAGAGCTAGCTATGCAGCCCACACTCGCCTCCTCATGTATCAGCCTCTCACTGATACAAACACTGCTTTTTAATTTCAAATTTATTTGCTAAAAATCAACACTTGTTCTGTGTGGGTCTCAAAATTATGGTTCTGATTGCATTCTCAAATGTCCCTTAGCATATCTATTTTCCATTTTCCTGCAGTTAGTAGTTAGCTACAAAAGTGTTAGAATCTAGTTAAAAATATTACACTTGTGGGGCTGGAGAGATGGTTCAGCAGTTAAGAGCACTGGCTGCTCTTCCAGAGGACCCAGGTTCAATTCCCAGCACCCACATGGCAGCTCCTCTGGCTTAGGAATAATGTGGTCCTTTTCAGTGAGGATTATATGGGTTAACCCCATATGGGCTCTTTAACTAGGCTGTACATCTCAGGTACTTTGCTCACTTCGATATATTCAATGACTAGACAGTACTTCTAAATCCTTAAGTTCATCAATGCTCTGCATTTTTTTTTTTCAGATAGGGTCTCATATAGCCCAGGCTAACCCTGAACTTGGTATATAGCTGAAGATGACCTCGAACTTCTGACTCTCCTGCTTCCACATACCAAATACTGACTATAGGCATGTAACACCTCACTCACCTCTTGTTCTGCTGGCCATCTGGAACTTGTTCTGTAGACCAGGCTAGCCTCAAACTCAGAGATTAAAGGAGTGCACCATCACTGCCTGGTATTTGTTCTGCATTTTGTTTTCCGAGACAGGGTTTCTCTGTGTAGCCCTGGCTGTCCTGGAACTCACTCTGTAGACCAGTCTGGCCTCAAACTCACGAGATCTGCCGGTCTCTACCTCCTGAGTGCTGGGATTAAAAGCATGTGCCACCACCACCACCTGCTACTACTGAGCTACATTACCAGCTCCCCATCACCACCTCTTTTGTTTGCTTGTTTTTTGTTTTTTTGAGACAGGGTTTCTCTGTGTAACAGCCCTGGGTGTCCTGGAACTCACTCTGTAGACCAGTCTGGCCTGGAACTCACGAAGATCTGCCTGTCTCTGCCTCCCCAGTGTTGGAATTAAAGGCCTGTGCCACCATTGCCTGGCAGTACCACTTTTTTGAGACAGTGTCTCATGTAGTTCAGGATGGTCTTGAATTTGCTATGGGATCAATGCTGGCCTTGATCTCCTGAACCTCCTGCCTCTACTTCCCAAGTACTGGGGTTACAGATGAGTGCTACTATGTTCATGTTGAATAATGTGTCAGAATTCTAGGATTGTTATAAGAAATGACTACAAATGAAATAACTTCAAATAACAGGAATTTTCTCTGATAGTTCTAGAAGCCAGGAGTCCCAAATCCAGGACTTGGCAGGGCATGCTTTCTCTGAAGGCTTCCTGGGAGAGTCCTTCCTGCCTCTTCCAGCTTCTGGTGGTTCTAACTATCCTTCCTGTTCACATTCCAGCCTCTGCTTCTGTTGTCACAGGGTGTCCTTCTCATGTGTCTTCTCCTCTTCCGCCTTGGTTTAGATCCCCAACACTCATGTGAAAGTCAGGTATGGGGGGTGTGCCAGTAACCCCAGCGCTGGTGAGTTCCAGGTTCAGTGAGAGATCCTGTCTCAAGAAAAAATGTGGTGATAGAGGAAAACATCTGTTGTTGACCTCTGATCTCCCCATGCACACACATGGGCGAGTGTACAGTGTGCTCCCCCAAAACATATACCCCATGCATAATCCACCTTTTTTAAAAAAGTAATTCTTATTTATTTATTCATTGAATGTTTATGTGTGTTGGTATTTGGCCTGTGTGTACGTCTGTATAAGGGAGTCAGATCCACTAGACAGTTACAGACAGTAGGTGCTAGGAATTGAACCTGGGTACTTTGGAAGAGCAGCCAATGTTCTTAACCACTGAGCCATCTCTCCAGCCCCTTAATCTACCTTTCTTATTCGGACTCACAGAAACCCAGTATAATCTCATCTTAGCTGGTCAGTTCCCCACAGACTATTTTCAGGTAAGGTCATATGTACAGGTACTAAGTGTTAAGACTTGAACTTATTCTTTTGGTGGATACAATTGAGCCATAACAAAGATGTCATGGTTTCTTCTTCTTCTTCTTCTTCTTTTTTTTTTTTTTTTTTTTTTTTTTGTGCCATCCTGGTTGTTCTGTCTGGTTTTGAGAGGAACTGGGAGAAAAGGAAACATTTATGCTTTGTCATGACCCTGCCTGATCCATGGTCCTCAAGGTTGTATCACCAGTGCCCACTTCCACAGAGTAAAAGGTGATTATCAGAGGTGAAGGGAGACCTTACCTCAGAGAGATATGAAACCTTTGGTGGTGCTCCCTTGAGGTCCAAATGAACTAATCTCATCTTAAATGGTGCAGAACATGACATGTCGGTATTTTTTTTGTGAACTCCTATAACAAGATCTTTGTCTCGGACTTCTTCCTGGTGGAGAGAACTCAAGTTACAAACGGGAGCAGAGGGAGCCCTTCCCTTTCTTTTTCAGTTCTGATACCAGCCAATTTTGCTGAACTAAACAAGAGGAAACTCATTTTACTAATATGAAAATAAACCAAAAAGTTTATTTCCACATTCAAATATAGTATTTGTGAATTGCCCCCAAAATAGAAAACCATTTATTTCCTTGGGAGATTATTATGATTTATGGCAACAAAAAACTCTATAAGCAAGGCAGTGGCACACACCTGTAACACCTTTCCCACCCCACCCCACCTGAGGAAGGAGGATTGAAAGTTTAAGGCTTGCCTGGGCTATAAAGAAAGTTCAAGGCTAAAGAAAGTTCAAGGCTAGTCTCGGCAACTTAATGAGTCCCTGTCTCCATATTAATAAGTAAAACAAGCCTGGGGATATAGTTTAGTGGTACAGCACTTGTCTAGCATGCTAAGACCTTAGGTTCAATTCCTAGTACTGAAAACACAATTAAGGCAATGATAATGGGGGTGGTGGTGGGAGTGATGCTAGTTCCATGATACAGCGCTTGCTCACTATGCCAGAAGTCCTGGGATCCACACTCAGCACTGCAAATAATAATAATCTGAAAAGGGAGTAAGCTCTACATATATCGGAGCTAAATGTAATATGCATTAAAATTAATTTCTGGATGATACTGAAGCTGCCAGGAAATTAAAGAAACAGTTTTCTACCTTTTATAAAACCACAAAGGATTATTTAGGAAAGGAGCTACTGAGTCGTGCATCCAGTTCCATGATTTCACATGCTCGTCCTGTGAAAGGACTCAAAGTCCTAGCCTTAGGGACTATACTCCTCCCTCAACTCCAACCCTGACCCGCCCACTCGCAGGCAGGTAATACTTGTCCAAGAGGCTAGTCCGGCAGCTCAAAGCCCCTGACAGGATTCTCAATGCAGCTTTCAGAGGAAGAGGGTGGCGGCCGTGGGAGATAGGTCATCCTGGTCCAGCCCACCGTATGGCTGTGGGCTTGACTCACCCACGCTGTCGCCTCAGCACTGCTACTGGAGAACGCTGAACTCCGAAGGTGCCCTAGGGGAGCGGCGCCAAGGGCCGAGAAGACCCCGCCTCCCCTTGCTCGGCCTCCGATTGCTCACGTCTGGCCGCGAGTCGGCTGAGGGCCGAGCGTGTCGTTCCTGCGTCCCCACACCGAGCCCGCCTCGCGTTCGCTGTCGCTGCTATTGCCCCGGGTTTAGCGGCTCTCGTGTCCCTCCTGGGTCCGCGGCGGCCTGGCCCAATGACGCCTCAGCGGAGGGGACCACCTAGAGTTCCCGAGGGAAGTAGTGCAGCCCAGCGCCGGCGCGCGAACAGGTAGCGTGGACCGTAGGAGGCCGCGCGTAATAGCGGGCGGCGCCTGACTGGTGTAGTGTGGGTGTGACCATTCCGGGGGCGGAGTCTGACGGGGGTGGGGCGTGGCCATGACCGCGGTGTCTGGTGGTAGAGTGGGGCGTGGCCATCCCAGGGTTGGGGCGTGGTCATGACAAGACGTGGGGGAGGGGGGGTTCTGACCGGACATATAGATGTGACTGTGACTGGGTCAGCTCCTGGCAGAGGTATGGGATGGGACTTGCCCTATTGCGATGTGATTGGGCGTGACTTGGAGAGAGAGCGTGGAAGTAACGTAGGCGTGGTGTGTCTGGGGGCGTGGCTTGGGGTATTCTGCTGCAAACTTCCTATGGTGAGATGTCCAAGTGGCTGCCCACCAAGGAACTCTGCACAAAGGTCCTGCCCACAGGGAGCTTTTTCCTTGGAGTCGGTGTGCATTCAGTTACCTGAGCAGGTTTTTCTTACTAGGGGGCATTTCTGGGCCTTTATGACTCCTTTCTGCTGTGTATACATGACCCACCTCCCTGCTGGTTACCTCATCCCAGCCTTTCAAACCTCACCTGTCCAAAACTGGCCTTGTTGGTCTCTGTCAAACCCACACCTGAATCCAAAGGATGGCGCCTTTGGGGACAGGGACCTAGCTCTTGACAATTCTGCATATATTTCAAGACCTATGTCCCGTGAGACCTTTCCTGGACAGCAGAGCTCAGATATACACACAGCTATGTAGAGACACAGACACAGCTTCATCAAGACCACATAGACCAGGGTCATAGAGACATCTTAACTCATGCATCATTTCTGACATGCTTCTGTACTCTTTCTGGCCTCAGATTTATGATTTAAGTGGATTTGATTTGTGTAAGTTGGTTTAAGTACACATGTATTCTTGTAGGGACACATGCTTGGGGTGGGACAATCATATAGGGATGCATAAGTGTCATTAGAGACTCACATTCCATGGCAATCCTCCAAATAGAAACTCTGTGGGCTGGACAGGAAGTGCCTGTAGTCAACTCATGTTTTTTGTCCATTGAAGCACATGTTCAGCCCTGTTCCATCAGAGAAGACAGGGTCACATACTGCCTGGGAAGCTCCTCTGAGGGGTGGTGCGTGATGGGCATCCTGATAAGTTGGGTGGGTTGTGGATCGAGGTAGGCCCCTGTTTCCCATCAGCATGAGTACCTGCAATATCTCAAGATTGATGGGGGTCCATCCACCTTGATCAGAGGTCAATATAGGCACAGCCCAACGCTGGTGGCATCCAGTGTGAACATCTTGTGGTTTTGACTGGCATGCTTAGTATGATAGCTGCATCCAGTGGTTATGTTTTCTATTCTCAGCACCAAGAAGGACTGGCTGCCTCAGGAGGCACAGAGGTCATGGCTAAGGACTGTGGTCTTTGGAGTTGGCCTTGCTCTGATCACATTCCTGTTCTGGAGTAGTCTGAGGATGGACGATGATGTTGCTGAAGTCTTGGCCCATCGTGGTGAGGTCCTGGAAGGCAGGTTCATTGAGGTTCCCTGCTCTGAGGACTATGATGGTCACCGGAGATTTGAAGGTATGTGCCACAGGCTTCTCAAGAAAGAGTAACTGGTAGGAAAAAAACAAAACAAAATACACGCACGCACGCGCAAAAACTGTTGGGTGGTGGTGGAGCACCCCTTGAATCCCAGCACTCGGGAGGCAGAGGCAGGCAGATCTCTGTGAGTTCAAGGCCAGCTTAGTCTACAAAGCCAGTTTCAGGATAGCCAGGGCTGTGACACAGAGAAACCCTGTCTTGAAAAATCAAATAAACAAGCAAAAAAAGAGTGAATGGTAGGAGGCTGGAGAGATGGCTCAGCATTTAAGAAAACTTGTTGCTTTTCCAGAGGACCTGAGTTCAGTTCCTAGCACCCTTGACAGGCAGCTCACAACTACCTGTAACTCCACCCTCAGGAGATCCAACTCCTCCTTCTTCTACAGGCACCTGCAATCACATGCACATACCTACACACAGATACACACAACGTGACAGAAATGAAATTCAACATTGCTTTTTGCTATAACTGGAATGAGTTGAAAATGGTATATTTGGGCAGAGACAAACTTTCCCATCTAGCTAGGCAAGCCCACACTGGTTTGGAGAGTAAAGATGTTTCAGGGTCAGTCTCCAATGCCACTCCAATGTAGACAGCATCTTAGCAAGCTTCTGTGTCTAGAGGCTGCATGCAGCGAAGTAACAGGGTTAGGAAGGTGAGAAAGGGTCAGCAAGATGGCTTGGCAGATAAAAATATATAATAACAAGCCAGATGACCTGAGTTCAATATCCTGAACCCATGTGGTAGAAGAGAAGCAGCTCCCATAAGTAGTTGAGTAAGTAGAACCAACTCTGATCTCTACACACATGTCATGTGTCCACACACATAAAATAATGAATGTAAAAGAAAGTTCTAGCCGGGCGGTGGTGGCGCACGCCTTTAATCCCAGCACTCGGGAGGCAGAGGCAGGCGGATCTCTGTGAGTTCGAGGCCAGCCTGGTCTACAGCGCGAGATCCAGGAAAGGCGCAAAGCTACACAGAGAAACCCTGTCTCGAAAAACCAAAAAAAAAAAAAAAAAAAAAAAAAGAAAGTTCTAGGAAGATGAGGTTGATAAGTGAGAAACCAAAAAGGTGATGATAAGGAATGCCCAGAAAATGTGATGAGAAGAATGTTATCCCAGGTCACAGCTCTGCAGCTCCACTGATGGCACTGGTTGAGGCAGGAAGGAACAGCCAGGTTGGAGCCCTGGGGAAATAGAAGAGGAGCGTCAGCACCCTGGAGAGCATGCACCTCTGGGCTGGGTGGATGGGGTGGGGTGCAGGCCTCCTTGGGCTGCTGTTTTCCTGAACATTCCGTACCACCCAGATACATTCTATTTCTGAAATGTAGCATTTGGGCATTGTAGGCGGGACTTTTCTTTCTTATCTGCCAGTTTCCAAATAACCAACACAGAGACTCAATATTAAATATAAATGCTAGGTCGATTAGGCTTGTTACTAACTAACTCTTATAAGTTAAATTAATCCATTTCTATTAATCTATGTGTTGCCACATGGCTCATGGCTTTACCTGTCCTCCAGCATGTCTTGCTCCTTCTGCCTCTCCTGGTGACTCCCCTGACTCCGTCCTTCTTCTTCCTAGTGTCCTTAGTCTGGTTTTCCCTCCTAATCTTATCCTGCCCAGCTATTGACCAGTCAGCTTCTTTATTAAACCAATCACAGTATAATTTACACAGTATACAGAGGATTATTCCACAGTAGGGCCTGGCTCTAAATAAACCAAAAGGATGGTGTATTGTTTTTCGTTTTTGTTTTTGTTTTTAATGCTTTGCTTTTTGGGGGACTGCCACCCAGCTCCAAATAAATACATGGAGACTTATTCTTACTTTTGAATGCCTGGCCTTGGCTTGGCTTATTTCTAACCATTTTTCTTTCTTTCTTTTTTTTAAAAAATAATTTATTTATTTGTATTTTATGTGCATTGGTGTTTTGCCTGAATGTATGTCTGTGTGAGGGTGTGGGATCCCCTGAAACTGGAGTTAGACAGTTGTGAGCTGCCATGTGGGTGCTGGGAATTGAACCTGGGTCCTCTGGAAGAGCAGTCATTGCTCTTAACCACTGAGCCATCTCTCTAGCCCCCTAACCATTTTTCTTAACAATTAATGTTTCTCTTCTTCTGCATTTTGCCTCTGGGCTTTCACCTTTCTCTATTTTATATACCTTGCTTTCCTTCTTACTCCGTGGCTGACCGTGTGCTGGGTGACTGGCCCCTGGTTTCCTCCTCAACTCCTCTCTCTCTCTCTCTCTCTCTCTCTCTCTCTCTCTCTCTCTTCTCTCTCTCTCTCTCTCTCCTCTTCCTTTCTTTTCTTTTCTCCTTTTTTTTTGTTTTTTTTTTTTTTGTTTTTTTTTAGAGACAGGGTTTCTCTGTGTAGCTTTGGAGCCTGTCCTGCATCTCGCTCTGTAGATCAGGCTGACCTCGAACTCACAGAGATCTGCCTGATGCTGCCTCCCGAGTGCTGGGATTAAAGGTGTGCACAACTGCCGCCCAGCCTTCCCTTCATTCTTTATTTATTCTCTCTGCCTGCCAGCCCTGCCTATCCCTATCCTGGCTAGCTGTTGGCCATTCAGCTCTTTATTAGACTAATCAGGTGTTTTAGGCAGGCAAACTAACAGTTTTATAGAATTAAACAAATGCAATGTAAAAGAATGCAACACATCTTTGCATCATTAAACAAATATTCCACAGCATAAACAAATAAAACATATCTTAAACTAATATTCTACAACAGGATGGTTTACTTTTTATTCAAAATAATGTTTTGGACTCCAGTGAAGAAAAGAATCTATGTTCTTCCACAAAGGGGCACTGTTGTCATGCACAAGACACAGCACTTAGCCACATGGGAGATGGCAGGGGAGCACTTTGTGGACTGGGTGGCCAAGGACAAAGGTTCATCATTATTTTCTCCTTCAGCAGTCAGTAAAATAAACATGTTTCTGTTGTGTTGGATGATCTGTCCTAGGACATTTTCCTTCAAACATCTTAATTTATAACACTAACACACACACACACACACACACACACACACACACACACACACACACACACAAACTATAAATAGCAGTTTCCCAGCCAGAGTTTGCATATCTTGCAGGTAGATTCCCCAGAGTCTACAGTCCCATTTCATCAGTAAGAGTGTTACACAGCTCACTTGGGGCAAGGGAACTGACCACCCTTTGCTGCCAGAATACAGGAACTGGTTGTTTGCTGAGCTTGCCTCTGATGCTCTACTCCATCCTGGTCATCTCTCCCACAACCCTGAACCCCATCACATTCACCTTCACCCCATCTAAGCTGCTTCTGACTTCCTTCCTCTCAGTGTCTGCATGACACCAAGGTGGAAGGAGATACAGAGATGAGTATGGCAGGCAGGTGCTGTGGTCCTGGAGAGGGATAGTGACCAGAATAACAGGTTCAGCTTGGGGTGTGCCAGAACTTTCCAATGAGTATTTAAGAGTGTTCAAACCAGCAAGCAAGATAAGGAATGTTGCCGGGCGGTGGTGGCGCACGCCTTTAATCCCAGCACTCGGGAGGCAGAGCCAGGCGGATCTCTGTGAGTTCGAGGCCAGCCTGGGCTACCAAGTGAGTTCCAGGAAAGGCGCAAAGCTACACAGAGAAACCCTGTCTCGAAAAACCAAAAAAAAAAAAAAAAAGATAAGGAATGTTGCCAAACTGTTAATGTGCTAGCATAGGCCTGTAATCTCAGAACTAGGAGACTGAGGCATGAAGTTCTTAAATTTTGAGGCAGCCTCAACTACATAGTGAGACCATATGTCCAACAAACAAGACAAAGCAAAACCAAAATGTCAATGCAATGTCTGGAGGCTTCCTTGTTTTCCCAGGGCTTGGGAACAGTGATTGGTGTTAGAATCAGCCTATCCAGTGTAGGTATGTGAGAAACCCGGGACACCTGGGGAGGAGGGGGTGTGAGCTCTGAGGTTGTGCACAGGGCACAGTTCTGGTGAAAAGTTACCATTGTTTATCTGAAGTTGACTTTTAACTAGGTGTACTAGCCAAAGTGGCCCCCTAGTCATGGTGGAGGGCCTTGCCAGCTCAACCATGATCTTGGGGCGGTAGCTTTGGTAGTCAGCATTTCCCGTTGACTCTCACCCTCCAGGCTGTACTCCCAGGAAGTGTGGCAGAGGTGTCACTGACATGGTGATTACCAGGGAGGAGGCGGAGCAGATTCGCAGGTACTCATGCATCTCTGTACTTTGCCTAGGGCGTCCATGGGTATAGCAGTGAATGGGGAGTGGGCCAGGGCAGCCACAGAGTCGAGAGAACTCTTACAGTCCTGTGGATCACCCCAAGGCTTTTGGGGTGAGAGGGCAGGCTTCCTGTTTCCTGCTTCATTTGAGGAAATGCTGTGACCTTAGCAATGTTTTTGCTGATTGAGTAGTCTAGAGCCCAGCCTCCCCTCCAGGAAGCTTACTATGCTATGGAAACAAGGCCTCCAGCCTCTGCTGACAACCACTAGATAATATTTCACCTCTCTGTGGTTCATGAATGCTAGCTCAGAAGCAGCTGGTGCTGGAGTTTTCTTTGTGAGGATTTTAAAAACCAGATCTTAAAAAGAAGGATTTAGTTTTCTGACTAGCTGTTCAGACTCAACATGTGGCCCTTCATTTGGCCCTTGAGTCCCATTCTCCTCCATCCTCATGCTGGTCCTGCTACAGTGCCCAGCAGGGAGTCTGTTCTCTGTCTCCTTCTCCCCACCCTCATCCTATATCTCTGCCATACCTGAGTATTATTAATGCTTTACTGAGGGGTGAGTGTTCCCGTCAAAGCTCTTCAGTAAGGTAGTCCTCTTACTGGAATGGTTCTTTTACAGTCTGAGCTGTGATTACCAAAATCTCCATCAACCTGGGAACTGTCAGGTCACAGACAAATGAAGAGGCACCTTTGCTATGGTCAGAAATTAGGCCAGTGGTTTCCAAGCAGGCCACGTGTCAGTAGCAAGAGGATGATGTATCCTCAGCTTTGAAAGTTACAGTTTTGAGTTTCCATCATAAATGTTAAACTAGCAGAATCTATAAACAAGGTACTATTATACTGATTGATGTTTTTGCCTATATACTTTATGGATAATGCTGTCAACCAAATTCTGACTTAAAGGTGTTTTCTCACCCACAGAATAGCAGAGAAGGGACTCTCTCTAGGCGGATCAGATGGAGGGGTGAGTTGACATGGTTCCTGTTCCCATTTTCTTGATACATTTTAAGTTTGCTCTCCTTGGAAGGGAAGGAGAAAGTGTTGGACACACAGGGTCCCCTCTGTTCCCCACCACAGGCATGGGCTGATATGTCCATGGTGTTTCTCAGACAGTGGCTGGTGTTCCTTCTGCCTACTGAGCATAAAATAAATCCCTCTTGGGAAGATTGTGTGTTAAGTCACACATGGCCACCTCTTCAGGCTGTCATAGGCTGCCTGTCTTCAGCTCACCCTGGCACTTTAGACACTCTGCATAGGGACAGGGAGGGTTGGGGAGGGGTGGGAGAAAGGGAGAGGGAACTGACAAAGGAGTCAGAAGCCTGGTAGCCAGGTGGCTGCTGGGAAAGGCAAAGGCCCTTAAGATCCTTAGATGGATCTCACTGCAAGAGTCCAGCAGAGGCCTGTCATCCTTTGCACAAGGGTAGATCATACAAGGAATAGGATGGTGTGTCTATGTGGAACCTATGTTATAATTTGGAAATGGGATTTTTGTAGTTGTAATTGAGGGAAAGTCCTTATCAGGAGCCCCAAGTTCAAGCACAGGTGTCTGTCTAAGAGAGAGCCAAAGGAAAACTTAAAGAGAGGAGAAAGCCTATGTGTGGATGGATGGAGGTAGAAAGTGGGGTGATATGGCTACAAACCAAAGAAAGCCAGGGGCCACAGATGCTGGAGGACAAGGAAGGACCATGCCTGAGAGCTTAGGCCACAAACCAGGGAGTGCCCCCGAGCCACCTTGATTCTAGACTTCTGGCCTCAGAGGTGGGAGAATGAACTTGTACAGCTGGAAGTCCTCGTTCTGTGTTAGTGCAGCCACAGGAATAAACTGGGCTAGCCACACCTCTGCAAATGGACAGGTGAACGGTGGCCACTGGGACTTTGGTATTGTGTGGATTCTCACTTGATTTCTACTTAGTGTGAGGAAATATCTGAGCATGGGTTTCTCTCTCTGTGTATTTTGGCAATTGCTTTGCATTGTAGTCTGTGGTCGGCGTAAATCAAGTCTGCAGAGCTAATGTCTTTGGGAAAGTTGACTTTCAGACTCTGCTCTAATTTCGAAGTATTTCTGTAATTGTCCTACTTCACCCATGACTCTCTCTTTAGAGTTCTGAAAATGGAATTCCTTTTATGTTGTTCAGTTTCGCTCAGGGAGATATTTGCTAAAAGGTCAGTGAGTGACCTTTCTCTTACTCCTTCTTCAGCATTTCCTTGAAAGTCACCATAAGTAGGCTTGATACCTTTAAGTTCAGTAAACATTGAGTAAGCCCATGTTGTGTTCACACCTTAGCTAAGTAACCGTGAGAATAAGGAAAGGGGCCTGGTGTCTGTTACTACTGGCTATGCATGGGGAAAAATGGTCCATGTTGGTGACTGCTTTCCTCTTGGGATGCAGGGAAAGACTCAGAGGTGGGAGGTGAGGATCAGAAAACATTTCTTAAATGTTACCGATGTGTAGTTCCATATAAACTGTTTAACTGGGAGCCCCAAGAACATGCCCACATGCATCTGTGGCCAGCATACACAGAAAAACCCAAAGCCATCACAGGGCTAGACCAGCAGGTTTGGCACATCCATTCAGTGGGATAGCCTTGCGTGCTTAGCTGGGATAAACAATGTGAGTTATGCTAAAGGAAAGAGCATATCACAGGATCTATCTGCCATTCCTCTACCTCAACAGGACACAGCTAGCTTCCTAAGAAAGTAGATCTTCAGGTGTCCAGGATGGGCTGGCAGAGAGCAGAGAGGGATCACAAAAGGGTGTAGTTGGTGTACATGCAGAAGTGTACACTTATGCAGAAACTAGTCACACTGCACACTTCACACAGACAGAATTGTGTGGTAATTTTTACCTTGACAGACTTAGTGGAGGGAAGGAAAGCGGGAGTCAATAGGGTGGACTGTAACTCACCATAATTCCCAGATGTGTCTAGGGACTGTTTCTGAAAGTGTTAGGGCAAAAAGTTTGGTTTCCTTTTTTGGACAGCAGAAAGAGACACCTCTGTCCAGGCAGACAGTGCACAAGGCAGGGCTTTAAGATGCCAGAAGTAGAGTGTTTATACAATGGATTGTGGTAACTGGGGCTCAACTTTGGCTGTGAAAGCAACCATCACTTGTTTTACACACATATGTCTTTTTCAGGCATCTATCCTGGACTTGCACTCTGGGGCCCTGTCTGTTGGGAAGCATTTTGTGAACCTGTACAGGTGAGAGGCTGGAGGAAGTGGAAGAGGCAGAATGCAGGTGGGCGCCCAGCAGCTGCATGGATGTTCTTCAAGGGCTAGAGAGAGATCTAAGAGAGTTCTCATCCTCATTGTCATTGTTCTGTCAACTGTTGATGTCCCTTCCTCCCTCGGTCTTCCTCTCTCCTTCTCCATCCTTCTTACTTTCTGACCCTTCCCTTCTCTGTAACATAGTCATTATTGTAGAGATGGAATAACTCTCATGATATGACAGCTCTACTTTTAGAGACTTGCTGGTTAGCTTGAGGAAAGACTGATTAAAGGAAACAAGGAAGCTGGGTGTGGTGGTTTATACCTGTCATCTGAAGCAGGAGGATTATCCCAAGTTGAAGATCAGCCTGAGCTACAGAGTGAGACCCTGTTTTTTTTTTTTTTTTTTTTAAGGCAAGGAAAAGATTAGTAGCATGCTGTATCTGCTAATGTTATTCATTATTTCACAGATACTTTGGGGATAAAGTACAAAATATCTTCTCTGAGGAGGACTTCCAGTTATATAGGTAAGGAAGATAAAGATTGGCTTTCTGATGTCCTGTTATATCAGTCCAGGGTAATGGCTCCTGTATGAGGGATTGAGACCTGTGAATGTAGACGAAGCTCAGCTTGTCTCTGGGTAGACGGGCAGCTCCCCTAATACTTTCTAAGCCCTCTTGGTCCCATAGCAGACATATCCTGCTACTGGTCACAGCCCAGCACCTGTCACATGATTCTTGCTCAGTCCTCTCCCAGAGGCATCTTGCCTATCTGGGAAATTTTTTTAAATTAAAGCTTCTATTTAAAGGTTATTAAGATGTGTATTACAGGGGGCTGGAGAGATGGCTTAGCCGTTAAGAGAACTGGTTGCTCTTCCAGAGAACTCTGTAGATGGACTTTTCTTTCCTTCCTGCCAGTTTCCAAATAACTGACATGGAGACTTAATATTAATTATAATGCTTGGCCAGTAGCTCAGGCTTATTACTAACTAGCTCTTACAACTTAAATTAACCTATTTCTATTAATCTACATACTGCCACGTGGCACGTGGCTTTACCTGTCCTCTAGCATGTCTTGCTCCCTCTGTGTCTCCTCTGACTCCACCCTTGTTCTTCCCAGAATTCTCCTAGTCTGGCTCTCCTGCCCAATCTCTCCTGCCTCAGCTATAGGCCAGTTAACTCTTTATTAACCAATGAGAGTAATACATATTTACAGTGCACAAAGATTGTTCCACAGCAGAACCCAGGTTCAATTCTCAGACCCCACAAGGCAGCTCATGACTGTCTGTAACTCCAGTTCCAGAGAATCTGATACCCTCACACAGACATGCATGCAGGCAAGACACAGGTGCATATGAAATAAAAATAAATAAAGTTATTAAAAAAGAATAAGTACCATAGCATAGGAAATAGTCCAGGGAGATGATATACACTATTTAGTTAGTCTCATTACTAATGTTGCCTAACGGCAGTATGACATCACTCACCAGAAGGAGCACTAGTACAGCACTCTGGTCTTGTTCAGAATTTCAGGCTTTACCTGTAACCATGTGTGAGCATGTGTGTGTTGGATTTTATCACCTTCTAGATTGTGTTGAACCAGCCAAGACACTGAACATGGCATCAGAGCACCAAGTTCCTGCTGCCCTTTGTAGCCTTGTGCCTACCCATCTCTGATGATCAGAAATCATCTCATCAGCCATGTTGCCTGGAAGCATAGCTGATACTGTACCCTTGTTATGTTCCCAGGGAAACAGCTGCTGAACAAAGCCTATGTTCTGGTCCAGAGAGCAGGTGAAGGGCTTGACTAACTCTGCATACCTGGCAGTGGAAACAGCAAGTCATCACTTAATTAGGAGCTTTGCAGCAACTTTTGAGGGTCCCACCTTGCATGTAGCTCCACTCTGTGGTACTCTCAAGACATGGGACCTAGCCCATAACTGTCCCCAGCTGACCAGTTGTGCTCCTAGCCCTCACTAGTTTATGTTTATTCCTAGTATGTACACACTGGCTTAAATAGAAAGGGTCTGTGATATTTTAACATTGTAAGTTCCACAAATTTATAAGACTAAAAAAAATGCTGGGTGGTGGTGGCCCATGCCTTTAATCCCAGCACTCAGGAGGCAGTAACAGACAAATCTCTGAGTTCAAGGCCAGCCTGGTCTACAGAGCAAGTTCCAGGATGGCCAGGGCTGCACAGTGAAACCTTGTCTCAAAAAACCAAAACCAAATCAAACCAAACTAAAACAACAACAAAACCAATCCTTCCAAAAAACAAAACACAAACCAAAAGATATCTAATGCGACAGGAAAACAAAATTGAGCTATATGTTCTTCTTGAGCATCATGGACACAGACCTCCTTGAACTACAGAGAGCAGAGAGTACCTTCCACAAGGTCTTCCCTCCACACATGGAATCTAGACAAATGTGGACTCCTGGACAACCGGGACTCAGCACAGTGGAACACGAAACTTGTGTTTCTGGGTGACAATCAAGGTGATTATCCCAACAGCAGGCATGAAGATCATTGCAGCCACAGGAATGCTCCTTACAGATGTTGCTACCTGCAGATGGTATAGAAGGAAATTAAAGGTGGAAAACACTAAATACTTACTGTATCCAAAGATCTGCTATTTTCTGTTCGGTTTAGGAGTTAAGTGGAGATTTACAATTAGGAGGAAAAGTGAAAAGAATATTCCCATCAGTTTCGCTCTAAAAAACATTTAAAATAATTAAAATTTCCAAAAATATCAGACTGATCCATTGTGTCCTCTTCAGGGATGTGCGGCAGAAGGTCCAGCTCACCATTGCTGAAGCCTTTGGCATCAGCTCATCCTCGTTGTACCTGACAAAGCCCACATTCTTCTCCCGAATAAATAGCACAGAAGCCCAGACAGCTCATGATGAGTATTGGCATGCCCATGTGGACAAGGTAAGCATTTGGTAAGTGGGTTCTTTCTCTTGTCTGTGACTAGAATTCTAGGCATCTGCTCTGCAACGTCTCTCTGCACTATTTTAGACTTCTTTTCCTGGGGTTCCAGGGTGCACTCTAAGTTAGTTGATGCACTTGAGGAAATAGAATTAGTTTTTGTGGGTGTTGAGGGCTGGAATAAAAGGTTTGGTGGCTGCTGGGGAGCACCATGGGCCTTGTGGTGTCCTTTGTTCTATACTTGTTCCCAGATTCATGTATAGCCTTTCTGATTGGGCTGCGTAAGCCCAGGGTCCCTTTTGTTACTTCTCTGGCCCAGGTCTCTGCATCCTCACAGGATGTCCTCCTTCCATCACAGTGTTTTTCCTTTGTCTCCTCCCTAAGACCTTGTCACTAGCAGCAGCAGGGAAGCCCTGGGGGTTCACTTGTGTCCTTGACCTCTGTCACAGAAGAGAATTCAGGATGAGTAAGAGGGAAGCAAAGTTAGAAAGTTTATTGATGAAGTCTGAAGACAAGATGCACTTGAGGAGAGTTGGTGTCAGGAGCCTCAGCAGTCACTGTGAATGTGATGTGGGAGCTTTGAAGCCGCTCGATCTGCAGCCATGTTTGGACATTAGGAAAGTTTATACTGGCATACTTTTCCTTTCTTCTTTTCTTTTCTTTTTTCTTTCTTTCTTTTTATTTTTTTCAAAACGGGGTTTTTCTGTGTAGCCGTGGCTATCCTGGAACTCACTCTGTAGATCAGGCTGGCCTCAAACTCAAAGATCTACCTATCTCTGCCTCTCGAGTACTGGAATTAAAGGCATGTGCCACAGCTGCCTGGCTTCTTATCCACAGAATTTTGTCCTTGAAGAAGAGTCCATTTTAGGTATACTGGACAGACTTGCTGCTAGAGAAGGCAGTTCTTCTACTAGAAATAAAATGTTCATGTGGGGATGTGACCCAGTTGATAGAGTACTTGCCTAGCAAGAATGAGGGCCTGGATTCAATCCCCAGCATCGTGTAGACTAGAAAGGATGATGCATGCCTGTGACCCTAGCGCCTAGGAGGTGGAAAAGCAGAGTACCAGGAGTTCAAGATTACTTTCAGCTACACAGAGAGTTTGAGTCCAGTCTGGGCTACATGATACTGTCTCAAAACAACACAAAGACAACCAACACCATTCACTGAAGGGCTCCTTATTACTATGTAGATCACATGTAGGCAGGTCTTATAGGGCATACCTCATTAGCCATTTTAATAATCGTAATTTGTGATGTTTCTCAGAAAGTTGGTACCATTATTTTGAAGGTGGTCTGGTTAGTAATATAAAAATTCCTGGGGTGTCAGTCTGTGAGAAATGGAAATCAGAGCAAAAGAGAATGAGGAGCCCTCTTACTTCTTATCTCCTCTCTGTTTCCTAACTTGTTATCTGCCTTGGTTAGTTCAGCCCTGCTGAGATTTCTCAGCCCCTGTAGGCCAGTTATCCCCAGTCACTGACATTAACCTTCTCTATGAAGGTCTCTTCCCTCTGTACTGTGAACAGCTGGTGAGGACTCCTGTCCAGCACACCGTTCTCCTAACAGTGCCAAGTGGCTGCCAAGATACTATGAGAAAGTGGAATGCCATCCCTTCCATGCCACAATCTGCCCCCACCTTTTCCTTTGAGTGTGGTAACTGGTAACTATGTGGTTTAGGAGGGTCCTTTGCAGTATGTGAGGGTAGGTTGAAGTTTTTAAGGAGTCAGAACAGGGCAGGGATCCTGTATCCTCTCATGCTTCCTGGTGCTGCTTGCTCTGCCTGGGTCTTTTGATGCTTGTTGTGGTTCATCTTTGCTTTTTCAAGACAGACTTCTCTCTGTGAAGCCCTGGCTGTCCGTGAACTTGCTCTGTAGAACAGGCTGGCCTTGAAATCACAATTCTCTGCTTCCAGAGTGCTGGGATCAAAGGCATGTGCCACCACCACCGGCTCATCTTTGCTTTCTTTAACTTGAGTTTCACTGCTGAAGCTACTGGAGTCAGTGTCCTGTTGGCTTACAGGGTTCATGTTCCCTTGGTATTAGCCTAGGAGGCTGATGCTGGATTGGGGAACACTCAGCTCGTGACATCAACCTAGATCCACCAACAGAGACTGATACCCACAGACAAGTCTTTCATCATGTTCTGTTGAGTTTCAGGAATATTTTTCCACGCCTCACTGGCCTGCTCACCTTTGAGGGCTTGCTGCTCACTCCTGGACATTTCTATCCCTGTTAGGAGATGACCATTGTTATGGTGACTGGTTGGGGCACAGAAGCAGCAGAGGAGAGCAGGGTTTGGACTTGCTCAGGAGGTGTTGGCCTTGTGCTCTTCCTTAGGCTCCTGTTCTCATAGTGCCGACAGGGCTGATCAATCACTTGATTCTGTCCTTAAACTCAGGATGCAGGAAGTGGGAAATTGAGGATGGCGTGGGAGGGTGGTGGTGGCTTAATGCTTGTAGCTGGTCCTTGGAGCCTCATTATTCTTATCTCTTAGCACAGACTTGCTAATTGAATGATTCATCAGACTGGAAAGTATTCTAATGTGATTGAAATTCTGTGCATGTCTTACATCACTGTCTTTGTGGCACATCTCATTAGTTACCTTTATTAACTAGATACTGATTTGTGAGTGTTCTCTCTGACATCACTTGGAAACAGCTCTGCATGTGGCAGGTGCTTGCCTGCAATACAGGGCACTGGAAACTCCTTGTAGCACCTGCCACATGCAGTATGTTCTGAGGATCCTCCAAGTAGCTACTCAGAAATGGCGGTGATACCTGGCTTCTGGTCTCTGAGGAAACTCTGAAGCTCTGTCACAGCGCCTTTGTATAGACCCAGCAGCAATGGTCAGAGCCCAGAGCTTTCCAAGACCCCATGCATTCTCCTCAAATCACGTCTATATGAGGAGGCTGCTGGTGTGCTTCTTGTAGGAGCTTGAACATAGTTCTTATTTCATGAACTATGGACTGAGGAGCCCCTTGAGTGAGTGTAGGTTTGCGGGCACCAGCATAGACATGACAAACTGAGGAGACTGCTGGCCCTGCAGTGAAGTCTGTCCTTTTAGAAGCTTAGCTGCCAAAATCATACCTTTCTCTCCTGGTGTGTTCTTCCAGCCTGGGGATGGTCCTGGCTACTGTGCCACTGTTTGCTTCTCTGTCGTCACCTGTAACCCCTCCAGTGACAGTTGCTGCTTTCCCACCTACAGTGTCTTGCCTTGCTCATCCGGTTCCTAAACTAACCATGACCAGCCTAAGAAAACGTGTACACATCTTTTACTAACCATGACCAGCCTAAGAAAACGTGTACCCATCTTTTTTTCCTTTTTTGTTTTGTTTCGTTTTGTTTTGAGACAGGGTTTCTTAGTATAGCAGCTCTGACTGTCGTGAAACTCAGCTTTGTAGACCAGGCTGGCCTCAAACTCACGGAGACTGGCCTGTGTAGCATGAATCTTAGATGGTCTTATTAATAAAGTCAAACCCAGGGCCAGGTATTGGGCTGAATGCTGGAAGATCAGAGAAGCAGAACAAGCCACAGCCACCTCACCTCGCCAATTCCTCAGCTGATCCTGTTTCCTCAGACTGGAAGCCTCTGAGTCCTCATCCAGAATGAATCTCAGCTGAACTGTTGCTCAAAAGCCGAAAAGCTTAACCAGCTCTAGTTCCTGGTCCTCACGCCTTAAATACCTTTCTGACATCACTTCCCGGGATTAAAGGCGTGAGTCACCATGCCTGGCTGTTTCCAGTGTGGCCTTGAACTCACAGAGATCCAGACGGATTTCTGCCTCTGGAATGCTAGGATTAAAGGCGTGAGTGCCACCATTTTCTAGCGTCTATATCTAGTGGCTGTTCTGTTCTCTGACCCCAGATAAGTTTATTAGGGTGCACAATATTTTGGGGAACACAATACCACCACAGGCCTGTATCTGCTTCCTGAGTGCTGGGATTAAAGGTGTGCACCTCCACCACCCAGCTTCTCTATTCTCTCTCTCTATTTTTTTTTTTTTTTTTTTTTTTTGAGACAGGGACTCATCGTGTATGCTTGGCTAGCCTGGAACTCATTATTTAGACCAGGCTGGTCTTGAACTCACAGAGATCTTCCTGTATCTGCCTCCCAAGTGCTGGAACTAAAGACATGCATCACCGTACCTGGCCAACTTTTTCTTATTTTCTAATTTGGTGCTTGGGATGGAATCCAGGACCTAAAGCATCCTAGGAAAGCTCTGGTTCAGTGAGAACATCCCAGCCTCTCAGTGATGTTTCTCTGTATGCATTTTGTGGGGTTTGTTGTTGTTTTTTATGTATATGAGTGTTTTGCTTGCATGTGTGTATATGTACCACATATATGCCTCATGCCCATAAAGGTCAGAAAAAGGCATTAGATCCCCTGGAACTGGAGTTACAGATGGTTATGAGCTTCCCTATGGGTTCTGGGAGCCAAACTTGGGTCCTCTGGGAGAGTAGCCAGCACTCTTAACAGCTGAGCCATCTCTCTAGCCCCTGTGTGCAGTTTTTTTAAATTGTTGTTTTTTAATTTTTTTATTTTTTTTGTGTGTGTGTTTGTGTTTGTGTAAATGTATGTTTCTTGTACGCATGAAAGATTGCAGGTGCCTGTGGAGGCTGGAAGAGAACTTAGATCCCCTCGGGCTATAGTTACTCGCAGTTGTAAGTGACTGATGTGCATGCTGCTGGAAACCAAACTCAGGTCTTCAGCAAGAGCAGCAAGCACACTTAACCACTGAGGTGTCTCTCAGCCACCTCTATGTACAGTTTTAAATGCTTTTGAAAGCTTTAAAATGGTTTTTCTGGTGCTTGGTCACTGCTCGGTGGTGCCGTGAGCATAGTTACTGCATCTGGAGAGTTTGGGGCCATTGTTTCTTTAAATAGGTTTTTCTTCACTAACCTTTCTCTTCTTTTCATGGGACTCGGTGACAGACTATCAGTACTTTAGGTACGTTCCCAAGGCTCCACTTCCCTAGTTCTCTGTCCTCCAGATGTACTCTACCCTC